TGCTGCATGAGGAACTGAGCGTTTTGGCCGAAGACAAATTTTGTTCTAGTTTTAAATATATTTAGGCTTCTAATTTTGTACAACTACCAAGATCATTTTAAAAAATAATGGGAAACTTCTGTTTTAGTCAGTCAATCATATGAGAATACGAAGGTTTCCTGAGAGTTGAACGAGGTACTTGATTACAAATAAGAATAAATTGCTGATCGAACAATTTTAATTTGATGATCAAGTGGAGACCCAAAAAGTTGAAAGATTCGTCAGTTACATAACATCTAGGTTTCATTATCAGATCACTAAATTTGAAAATACTACAGAAATTCAGGTACCTGATGCAACCAACAGTAGGTTGAATGATAGGCCGAACAAGATGGTGCAATGTTTCGTGGGAAACCAAAGTAATATCGGATGCAGTACCCAACTACAGTGTGATTATACGATTTTTAACATCAATTGACAAACATTTGCGTAAGTATTAGAAGTTAAATTTAGATAAATCACATACACGATTGATTTTCGTTGACACTCGGTTACGTGATGTGAGATTACCACATTTGGAAAATCCCTTGTTCTGATCATTTAATCCTCATTTGTGTGTTGGTTATATCTTGACTATTTGTTTGTCGGTGTAGCTAGATAAGTGTAAGTACTCGTAGATACTAATAGCATACTTTATTGCAATATAGTAAAATATAAAACAAAGTATTATTTAGTAATAAACCAATTCAAACTAGAATATCCACTCAAATTAATATAACGTCTATAAAGACTTAGATCGGAATCTTCCACCGAAATCATCACTCAGCTATAGAAATTAAATTCAAGCATCATGTATGAAGATCGACTAAGAGCAGACGATTACAGGCGACACTTTTACTGTAACATCTTTAATACTACTTAAATCATTTAAGTAGCACAACTTGCTACACAAACAATTTGAAGTCTGAAGGCTGGCATTACAAATACTGACCGTATCTCTTTATGAAACATTCATTCTTGGCTATTTGATTTCCACCTTCCATTCTTACTATGAACATCCACTTACTAAATGGGGAATTCACAACTTTCTTTCAACCAACTTATTCGAATCGATCCATGCCACATGAATAACCTTAGCTTACAGTATCTGTTTGTGTCCAATTTCATGCATGAAGCTTGAATTTAATTTCTATAGCTGAGTGATTTCGGTGGAAGATTCCGATCTAAGTCTTAAACCTTGAAAATAGTCAATTTTATAGACATTATATTAATTTGAGTGGATATTCTAGTTTGAATTGGTTTATTACTACATAATACTTTGTTTTATATTTTACTATATTGCAATAAAGTATGCTATTAGTATGTACAAGTACTTACACTTATGTAGTGACACTGAAAAACAAACAATTACTATGTAATTAACACGTACCAAAGGTTAGGGGAGTCTCACGATAGGACGAAACGGCCATCTAGTGCTTCCAGGTTTTCCATGGTAGTCTAGTTTCAACTGACTCATGATCTCAATCACTGAAAATATATTTATTAGTTCTTTGTGTCTTCTGATATGTACTTCAGTTAAATACTTCAGATAAATACGGACAATATCTATTGGATAACCTGTATCGATTTCGGTCTGTTTGGATTAATAACAAACAACCTTATGCAAAAATATCTCTCATTCAGATTGGTCTAGAACCCAGCTCCTCTTTAATGTAGTAGTAAGTTAGGATACGAATTCAGAAAACATATGAGGCTTCTGTTATATCCGTGTTTACTATAACTATAAGCTTGTATGATAATGTATATTTATTAACTGAACGCACAGTGAAATAATAAGAAAATCACAATGTGTACATGACTACAAATTAAGTGAAGGGAAACTCAAAAATAGGTTCATAGCTAATTAATAATAACATGGAGAAGGTGGTTCAAAATATTTTTCTCTCTCACTTGGAATTCAATAATATGTTGATACGATGAGACTAGTCACGTTATTTCAGACCCAGGATTCACGACCCAGGAAAAAGAACTAGAGTATAGATTAGATAATACTTTATTCAGCAAGATTACAAGGAGTCACTCACAGTGAGTTCGGAGTAAAAATCAATGAGCAGAAAGGAAATCATATATTTAATAGACCCTAGGCTACGTACCTGTTTATCAAAGATCAGTGGCCAATCATATCTAACTTTCACTACCATACATTAGAAAATAAAATGTATAATAAGAGTTTAGGCTTCATCACGAAGCTTACAATACGGGAGATATAAAAATACATTCCAAATATTTATTAGATTTACATAAATGATGTTTTGCAGTAGGATAGTCCCAAAAGTTTTAACGGCGAGACTATAATTTATGGACCACCTTTCAACGAATCTTAAGTGACCTTGAGAAACACCAGCCGGTCAGGAAACAGTTAGTATAGAATAAGAATATATTATACAAAACCAAAGAATACAAATGGATACACTTGTTTTATATGGTCCAAAAACTTCTCACGGTTAGAAATAGGTTTTAAGGTCCTAAAGTCGTAATACATACGGTAGAGGAACTCGTGCATATAGTTCCATAATAGTCGATCCTTGGAGCCATGATAAGGTCGCAAATACTCTTTCAACTTCTACCGCATAGCTTCGATATTGTTTCTGTGTATTTTGGATATGTAAGTGTTATGATTTTATATCCGGCTTTTGTCACGTGATTTATTCACCAATCGAAATACGACTTGTCTAATCTTAACATTATGGCAAATCAATGACGCTCGATCAGTTTGAGTAGACTACCGTCCTTCTTGGTCCCCTGTCCTCCTAGCCCTTCCAACTGAGTCCAGAGCACCAATTTCAATAATAATGTTTGTACAAGATCAAGTCAAATGTGGCTGTGAACGTGGGATACAATAATCAATAAACTGATTATAATTTAGGGACAGTAATTCGTATAACAATAATTCATAGATCAAGATGAAGCTTATAATAAAATGAATATAGATATACATGATCTAATTGTTCAATAGTTATACAATAAGAGTATATATAGAATAATAGTTCATTGATAGAGTTCGGGAGTTACCTGTACTTACGTCTTCACTAGGATATAACAGTAAGCTTATCATTCTTATTACGCATATATATCTACAATACTCCTACCATTGAACAGCTGAAGCTTCAGTAGCATCTGCAAATATTGCAGCCAATGCTACTGGTGCTTTTATTAAACAGTATGCAGCAATTATTATAATTTGTCTTAATTTCAATGTGAATCGAGTGAAAAAGGTTCCTATTCTAGCATACTTCTTCATCCAACATATATTACATCGAAAGACATCATAATGGTAGTCTGCACAGGGTCTATAAGTCATTTGATTACCGCAATTACAAATAAAGGAACTTTTTAGTAGTTCTATTTATTGTAGACGCTTAATTGTCACGTCTTCTCTAAAATCTGCTGTGAACCGATCGTACGTGACCATCAGGTACTGGAAATCCCGCAAACACTTATGATTGGCTCGTCCATAAATTATAGTCTCACCGTTTGATCTTTCCCAAGGCCGCTATGATATACTATAATTTTATGAATTCCAAATTAAAAACATTTTTATCAATGGTAAGCAGGGATGGATAGTGGCTAGCAGTGGAATCCAGGACGCGCGTTTCGTCCTATTTAAGACTCGTCAGCTGGATGTAACTGCATCTCAGAGTTGATGTTCAAATAGGACGAAACGCGCGTCCTGGATTCCACTGCTAGCCACTATCTATCTCTGCTTACCATGCTTGTGAATGAAGGCTATATCGAGGCAATACGCAAAGTATGCAGGTATGCCATTTAGAGACTGACCAGTTACAGTCCTAACACATCGATGAGAAGATTTAAACAAACCATACTGAATGAATTTTTATCAATATTTATGCTTTGTGAAACATCTGTATATATTTAGCTTGGATTAAACTAACCGCTTACTTTGTAGCTAATACGAGCTTGTATTTATTTACAGATTAAATTTAATATATCATGATTAATACTTTAAAAAACAGAAAAGTATGGTCGAAAACCTCATTGTCATAATGGGGTTGGGGAGTTAGTTGGATTTCATGAAAGATCACGAGACGATCAAAAGTAGACAACTATTGAAAACCTGGAAGCACTGAACTCATCGGTAGTGTGCACAGACGATCATGCATGCTGGCATTGAAACCAGAATCTCCGCTTTCCTGGCCGTAAGCTTAAAGTATAGACAAGTGAGCTCGAATCCAACGGATTATAAATCTAACTCTAAAAAATCGACGATATTTCTGAATATTCCTATACTAAGACAGAACGTTTGTCCAGTGCTCCCAGGTTCTCAATGGTTGTGTAACATAGATTAGTTTGTGACTTCAGTGAAAACTTATTTATCTGAGTGGGTAAGCAACTATCGCACAATGGTTCAATAACTAGCTTTTTATTTTAGGAGATATATGGTGGCATGTGCAACTTATATGGCCATAATTCAATAGTAATTACTAGAATTTGATATTACGATTCCTTCTGACGGAAGAGAAAAGTAACGTGAGAAGAATCAAAGTCAAACGCAAGTAATATATCACCATGACTGAAAAAATGACAGAATGACTCAGCATCAACTCAAGAAAGATGTGAAATCCATTTATTCAATGTTTCTTTTTTATGTGTTTTATGAATTACGTAGCCAAATTAGGATAAATTGGTTTCTTTTAACCGATTGTTTGTTCACTACAGTATTTTCATGCTTTCTATACCCTAGTTTATATCGTGTATTCCATTTTTAGTTCCTATTCTGTCTTTAGTTTATCTTGGCCCTGGGAATAGTGTAAACATAAAATAATATGGTTGAAGTTAGACATTAACATCTTTGGATACCGACTCAACGGTCTATAGGTTAGGCGCTCGCGCGCGAGACTGATAAGTCCTGGATTCGATTCTCGAGAGGCGGGATCGTGGATGCGCAATGATGAATATTTCTCTCCGAATAATAAATATGATCGTACGTGTTTAATAAAATGTGTTAAGTAACTCCAATATATTTTTTTTAGAAAATTATTGCATTAATTAAAAAGAACTAACAACATTTCAAGTCGATTAACACCAGATAATAATAATATTATGTATATATTATTCGTCACATCATAATAATTAACTAGGAGCGTAAAATAAACTTTAGAATAAACAAACGAAATCAATAAATATGAGCATATTACAAAAAGAAAGAAAAAAAGACACAATAAAAAAAGCAACGAAATACAAAATTTCCCTGAGGTAATTTGTCTAACCATTATTGTTTACCATGTTTCCGAAAAATACAGAATAGATTTTAATGCTAATGAAATATTGACAATATAACCAACAAGAAATATCATTCCTATAGGAAATCTTCCTTCTGTAAGTAAATAAGCTGGTGTGTGTAAAATTCGAGCTAGTGCGAAAATTCGAAAATGCCACAATCCAACTGTAGCTGGTGCATCTGTACTGCAGTAGAGTAGACCAAGAAAAAGAAATGGTACCAGATTCTCCAAATCATTTGAATGACATCTTGAATTGTTAGTTATTTTAAAAGAAAGTAATCAAATTACCTCTGTATAGATTGTACATCAGGGTGCGGTTGGTCTTTGCAGGAAGACTAATTAAAGATTACATTATGAATAAATAAAGAAGTGATACCTTCGTTTGCAAGCGCTTGATAATCGTAGCTCCTGCAAGAACTAGAGTTTTGAGAGCTAGAATACTTCCATAAAAAGCAAATGCTCCCCTCATATCAGTGGTTTTCATAACTTGAATATTTCCAAATCCTAAGTGAGTAAATTTTCCCAGTTAGGCTAATTTTCTGATTCACTTTTCCCTAAAATTTACCTTTATATATTGATTTATTCATCTAGTAAGTTTCTGATTGGTCGGTCAAATGTCTTTGTTCTTATTTGTTGATGAACAGCAGTCATAAACGCATCATGTCATACAACAAGAAAAAATAAATAAAGGATACAAAATCAGTTATATGAAGTTCCGATTATCGGACAAAGTGGAAAGCTGTTTACAAAACCTAGTTTGTAGAAAAACTATAATCCATTCTAAAACAAAGTGAACTAAGCAGACCTTTATTGAAGTTAGTTTAAGAAATAATCTTGATTGGACTTAACATCATTTAAGTAGCTACTGTCACTACTATTAAACCTGAAAGAAAGAATCTACAAAATCATATATTAAAATAACTGTAAAATTTGAAATAGCAGCGATCATTTGGAAAACAATGAAATTTTTCAGTAAAGTAATTCTTCAAGTTAGTAAAATAATAAAACTGATGTAAGAAGAACAATTGAATAGAAACTTTCAGGTATATTGTAGAAGATATTGAATAAGTTGATAATTAAATGAGACATATTGAAATAAATTTGATCTGTTCAATAGACAAGCTTTTATTTACTGAGAAAAAATGTGCAAGAGGTGGAAGAGGTGGAAACATTCACGTACCTGGGAAGCATCGTTAATAAACAACAACAAAACATCATGACACAAAATGACCAGATAATTCCAAATTTAATCTTGTTTACTTGAAAAATGCAAATAATATCCTGGTTTATACAATATAAATGTTTATTAGTTTGATTTTAATATCGTTTATCAGAGACAAATATAAATAGACAATATAAATAAAATTGATTAATAAGACATAATCTACATTGTGTAACGTACCTGGGAAGCATCATTGATGAACAAGGAGGATCTGATGCAGATGTAAAGGCGAGAATTGTCAAAGCAAGAGCAGCATTTTTACAATTGAAGAACATATGGAACTCAAAACAACTCTCAACTAACTTCAAAATGAGTATCTTCAATGAGAACGTCAAAAGAGTTCTACTATATGGAGCTGAAACGTGGAGAACTACTACGGTCATCGTCAAAAAGGTACAAGTATTTATAAACAGTTGTTTACGCGAAATACTCAACATTGATTGGCCGGATACCATCGGCAACAGCGTTTTATGGGAGGGGACAAACCAGCTTCCAACTGAAGAGGAAATTAGGAAAAGACGTTGGAAGTGGATCGGACATACATTAAGGAAATCACCAATGTGCATTAAAAGGCAATCCCTAACTTGAAATGGTGAAGGGAAGCGGAAAAGAGGAAGACCAAAGAACTCACTACACCGGGAAATAGAAGCCGATATGAAAAGGCTGAATAGCAACTGGAAAGAATTAGAAAGGTTTGCCCAGGACAGAGTTGGATGGAGAATGCTGGTTGGCGGCGTAAGTAAGTAAGTGGATTTATTTATTATACGTTATAATTAACTTTATTAGAATCCAGTTACTTTTACAAAAATTGTTTCTTAAAATTCACTTTGAACAACACTTTTCATATACCTTAAAACAGTATATCTACTATAATTGATATAAAGAAAATCCCTGTAATTCTTATATTGTTGAATCCATTTTCATATATTTCTATTGTTCATTTTATTCTATAAATTTTTATATTTATATTTTACGCTTATTTTAATTAGATGTAACTTTATCAATGTATTTGATTGATTTTAGGCTTATAATTATAAAAACAGCACATCTTTACTTAAATGTGATATTTTTTAAGCATTTTAATCATGTATATATAACAGCTTATAAATAATTGATCTCATAGTTAACATGATATTATTGATAAATAATTGAACATATCACTTCTTAAAATATTTATCATTAAAGATTAAGTGATTACATGTTCTTCAGATCTCAGTGTCATTAGATTGAGTAACTTTAAATTCCATTGAACTAGGAATTATTGTTGACAGTTGAAAGTTTTAATGAATGTATGTTTTCAGATATTCAGATAAAATTCTACTTATCCATGGAATGATGATCAATGTAAATTAATAATGAGACCAACATATTATTATTAGTTTGATTAATTATAGAACTATTTAATCACTAACTAGTTCGCCACTTACAAATTTCTGTATTTGTTTTTAGCCACGCTTTAAATATGAGGAGCACTGATTACTTACTTACTTACTTACTTACTTACTTACTTACTTACTTACTTACTTACTTACTTACTTACTTACTTACTTACTTACTTACTTACTTACTTACTTACTTACTTACTTACTTACGACTGTTACCCCTCGTCGAGGAGCATAGGCCGCTCACCAGCATTCTCCATCCAACTCTGTCCTGGGCAAACCTTTCTAATTCTTTCCAGTTGCTATTCAGCCTTTTCATATCGGCTTCTATTTCCCGGTGTAGTGAGTTCTTTGGTCTTCCTCTTTTCCGCTTCCCTTCACCATTTCAAGTTAGGGATTGCCTTTTAATGCACATTGGTGATTTCCTTAATGTATGTCCGATCCACTTCCAACGTCTTTTCCTAATTTCCTCTTCAGTTGGAAGCTGGTTTGTCCCCTCCCATAAAACGCTGTTGCCGATGGTATCCGGCCAATCAATGTTGAGTATTTCGCGTAAACAACTGTTTATAAATACTTGTACCTTTTTGACGATGACCGTAGTAGTTCTCCACGTTTCAGCTCCATATAGTAGAACTCTTTTGACGTTCTCATTGAAGATACTCATTTTGAAGTTAGTTGAGAGTTGTTTTGAGTTCCATATGTTCTTCAATTGTAAAAATGCTGCTCTTGCTTTGACAATTCTCGCCTTTACATCTGCATCAGATCCTCCTTGTTTATTAATGATACTCCCCAGGTACTTGAATGTTTCCTCCTCTTCCAGGGTTCTGCCATCAAGTGTGATTGGGTCGGTGTTCTCCGTGTTGCATTTGAGAATCTTGCTATTCCTTTGTGAATGTGGAGGCCTATCGATGCGGAGGCTGCTGCTACATTTGCCGTCTTCATCTGCATTTGTTCGTGTGTAAGAGAGAGGAGGGCTAGGTCATCTGCGAAGTCCAAATCATCTAATTGATTCTGAGAAGTCCATTGTATTCCGTATTTCCCTTCAGATGTCGAATTCTTCATAATCCAGTCAATCACTAGAAGGAAGAGGAATGGGGAGAGTAGACAGCCTTCTCTGACTCCGGTCCTTACTGGAAATGCATCTGTCAGCTGTCCTCCATGCACCACTTTGCACTGTAGTCCATCGTATGAGTTTTGGATAATGTTGACAATCTTTTCAGGAACTCCATAGTGTCGAAGAAGTTTCCATAATGTTCTCCTGTCCACGCTGTCAAACGCCTTCTCATAGTCAATAAAGTTGACGTATAGTGATGAGTTCCACTCAACTGATTGTTCAACGATGATCCGTAGTGTCGCAATCTGGTCTGTGCACGACCGATCCTTACGGAACCCAGCCTGATGATCCCTAAGTTCGGCGTCTACTGCGTCTTTCATCCGATTCAGCAGCACTCTGTTGAAAACTTTTCCTGGTACTGATAACAAACTGATGCCTCTGTAGTTCTCACATTGGCTCAGATCTCCTTTCTTTGGTATCTTCATGAGATATCCTTCTTTCCAGTCCATTGGCGCTTGTTCCTCTTCCCAAATCTTCTTGAATAGAAGGTGAAGCATGTTTGCAGTTATTTCAATGTCTGACTTCATTGCTTCTGCAGCAGCATCTGCAGCATCTCTCCGGTACCTAGCCTTTGTTGTCCAGTTTGTGTCCAATGGGTTTCGCTGATTCCGAGTACTGCCAAGTTGTATCTTCTCATTTACATTGCTATTTGGCTGGTTTTTCCTGTCTCCCACATTGTCCGGACGTTCCATGTACCTATAAAGAGTGTTGCTCTGGTTGTTAGAAGGTGCATAGGTCTCGTGACTTACGAAGATTTTCGGCTTTCATCATGAGACATCATAATTATTCCTTCAACTCCCAGGGCAGAGTTTAAATTATTTTTTCTGGTTAGCGTTTTTTCAGCGAGTTAGCTTTCTACGGGACGGGGTCGCTAACCCCATGCCCAAACCTCCTCCTTTGTGTGGGCTGGAGACCGGCAGTAACTCTAGAAGAGCTACAGGCGGAGCACTGATAGCATCGGATAAATCCAGTCAAAACAGGTGAGGCAGCGAATTGTGCTTGAGAAGTAAACAAGTTAACTACTGAACTACTACTCCGGCATCAGTTACAAAACTAATGTCTCGAACATATATGCGGATTATAATTCTATAATTTAAAAATTCACAAGTGATTAAGTGTAACTTACTTATTACTCTGAAGTAGTAATGACTAGTACAAAAATATGACAATAAATATAAAGTATAGAGTTGCAGATTTCAAAGCAGATTAATGGCCTTGTTAAACAGGATTATTTTAACACAAATAACTCTTACCAGTCATACTATTCAACGTCCTAACTTTAATAATGAAATAACGACATTATCGACCAACCAGTCATATGTCTACAAAATTACCATATTAACATGAGACTTTTGGATTTAGATTAACAAAATTCGTACTTTAATTGAGTATACATTAAAGAAACCATCATTTCTGAACAACAAAACAAGCAACTTCAAGCCTACATATGTCAAACACCACTTTTTAACTTCTTTGATGATAAATTGAGAACTACTTACTTAGTTACGCCTGTCACAGCCAATGGAGCATAGGCCTTTGACCAACATTCTCCAACCCACTCTGTCCAGGGCCTTCCTTTCTAGTTCGATCCAACTGTTCTTCATTCTTCTCATATATGTTTCCATTTCTCGACGTCATGTGTTCATTGGTCTTCCTCTTCTCATTTGTCCTCGAGGATCACATGCGAAGCTTTGCCTTGTGACGCAGTTGACTGCTTTCCTCAATGTGTGTCCTATCAACTTCTTGCGCTCCTTCCTGATTTCTCCCCCCGCTGTAAATAAATTGAGAATAGTTAGATTAAATATATTACGATTCTGTAAAAGTAAAGCTGTTCTTCTTTAGATTGTCGAATTCGAAATCGTGTGACGTAGAACTTAATGGTTGGTGATAACTGAAATTCATGCTTATATGGTAAGATAAAATAAGAAGTACTTTAGTAATGTAATTTGATCAAATAATCAATCATATAATTTATTTCAAACCTCAGAGTGTGTCTGGAACATTGCAACTAATCAGGACTTTTATTACTTTGCTCCGTAATCTTGGAAGTGTTATACACTTTTGACGATCCTACCGTCTCAACTCATAATTAATTGTTTGATTCTCATCACTGATCAGTAGCCAACTGATAGAATAATCTTGACCGATCTCCACAGATACTTTACTGTCTAAAGGAAAATTACTTGCGAGCGTCTTTTGAAGCACTGTCCCTAGATTAAAGACGAACGTTTACTTTCAATCTTTTATTGATCAGTTTCCTCTTTGGATATGAGAGAACCACTCCAACCACTATCCAGAAAAAATCAGAGTTTCCAGGCTTTCACTCTGGTGAAATAGTGTAGCCGCGATAAAATTATGATCAATTTATGAAGCATTCCATTCTCCGTTCAAATCCCTTGGACCGTTCTTGTTCATAATGGTATGAAGAAACGAATGACATTTAACTTTGCAGTCTGCAGTGTCGCACTCGAATATTTAGCTGCATGTTCCCGTCATGTGATCATCTCCAAGATATAAATCACAAAATTCACATATTCGTACTCCAATATTCCTTCTAGTCACTTTCAGCTTTGACACTTTCGCGATAGTTGATACCCCATAACCAACTTTACGTAAGTCATAGGTTACAAATTTCATCGATCCGTTTCATTTTCGCATAACCACTCTGAAACTAGCTTTATTATCGTGGCAATTTTCGTGAGTGCTTTTGTGTCTATATGTTATGATTTTCCATTACTGCATATCAGTTTCTAGCTACTCTAACTGTCTTCGATAACGAGAACCACGTTTCGCCCTTTCGAATACCCCTGTACTACTTCTAAACATATTGGTCAATAGTGTGAAGATTGATTACGCTTGCATTGGGGTAGAAAAACAAAGTCGATTTCAAAATATTTCATGTATTATCTGTAGAAATCCTTAAAAGAGTAGTCAAAAATCCTTTCCGCTTTACCTGAAATCGACGGCTTGTGAAATAGTGGAAAACATGGCTGGTCAGATAGTTAGTAGTGTATGTTGAAAGTCGTTCTGGCAAAATGGAGTTGAACAAAAACCCCAGGCGACAGAAACTCAACAGGTGCGGCTTCAGCTTTTAAAGAGACTGATAATGATCCGCATAATAGGCTTCTGTTAAATTTATTGGTTTCAGGAATCCAAGGGTAGCTGCATTGGCAAGTAAAAATGTTCCCATTTCATCCTGAAAGAAGTAAGAACCAAATATTATGTATCCTCTTGAGAGCGAGTATGTGTTAAAGTAAAAAGACTCAGAGTTCATTGAAGATTTGCTTTTCATCTGTCTAGTGAACAACAAAGTAAAAATATCAGGAATAATGTTTATGATTTTACAACTCAGGTAGGTGCATCTAGTGGTGTTAGCTGTTTAAGCTAGGAGGATAGCTCCAAAAACACCGAAACCTCGAAACCTTGAATCGTAATTCAAATTCAAGACAAAAATATTTTAAAGGTGGTACATAATGGCGATAAAATGGAACCGTATGTCAAGCTGATATAAGACATGATCAGTATCTGTCAACATAACTGTGATTTCAATAGCAAGCAAGAGATGTGCAGATATATATTGTAAGCAAATCAATCTGCAGGTTGGTTAAAATGTTCGCTTTTAGTTTTGTTTTCCCATCCTTTTGTTTAGACACACTACTAGTCAAGGTTGACTGTAGTCCTCCTGCTTTGAGTGTGGTTCACGTAATACGCTCAGAACTTTCGGCATTAGCGGTAAAGCCTAGTATGCCGGTAGCCGTGAGTTAATCGGCCGAAATAAAGATATCACGTCAATTATTTTTCTAATATTCTGAAGTTAGTGATAGATAACTCACATGTCAATGGTAACCAAGTGAACACTGAAAATATTTTGTTATTTAAATGTTTATAATCGCTGGAAATATCTATTATACAACGATAAAGTAAATCATAGGTGATGCCTGGCTGGAGTGATTGATGTATTGATTCTAGATTAGACTCGTTCTACTTAATCTAATTCACCGCCTAATCTCGAGCGCTTATTGAAGCTAGATAGTGTTCTCCCTTTTTCTATCACACGCTGAACCTCACAAGTTTGTAAACAGAAAAGTAATGCAGCATGGTATTATATCTGATGTCAGCCTTTAATGGAGACACTGATACGAATCTGTTGACCCAACTCAGAACTCCAGTTTAACTCTTACTACTACCACTTTTGCTTCATAACTGATGCCAGTTATTGATGAAAAGTTTATAGGGTGATAACCCTTATTCTCAATAATGGCTCAACTCCTAGTGTGAGCGTAGACATATAGACTTACTCTCTTCTTCCATCGAATGGATAATTTGACTTGTGGAGGTTAGTTATTACAATCAAAGCCATTATTTCATTATTTTGTATTTCTAATTGTTTTATAACTAAGCGATGTCATGATTGGCTGTTAGATCTTCATTGTAATTCACTTTCACCTCATCAACGTCTCTTTTCGACTAACAGGGGATAGCGCTCTTGTTATTTCTCTTTGTTGTTAAATGCTTTCATTATTAAACGTAAGTGCATTCTGTGCCTACTGAGTCATCAGCTCGTTTTTTCTATGCTTTCTCCTTTGTATGATCTCACTTACTGCTCCTAACACTCTCTTAAAACACAAGGTGCCTTCAGGCTAGATGCAAATCTACTAAATGCTGAACGTTATATTTTGTGTGGTGTAGTGGTGTCGCGACTCTTGGTGTTTGTGCACTTCGCAAAATATTAATTTAACTGACCATTTAATGCAAAGTGCTATAATAAGTTTCAAAGGTTCAAACTGTGCCAATAAACCTTCCAAAAATGTTTATTCTGAAACTTGTTCTCTCCGCTCCTAGTTTTGATTACAAAATCGCCCCGAATTCACGATTTCGCAGATTTCCGTGTGTATATTTTCAGCAAACCTTCAATATCAACGCATATATGGCTTAGGTACAGGAATATTTTAGACATGGCTTTAATTTGGTTTCATGGGTGAGATTCGACGTGTTCTATGTTATGATGTGCACATACTTTTATAGAGATTATACAATACACTTTGGGTGCATACAAACTCTCAGATAGTGTTTTCTCTTCAAAACAAAGTGTGTGATTTTAAAAGCATATTGTGTTACGCATATGCATGTTTATATTTCCCAGTTATTTTCGTTACTAAATATATTGTTGACTGACACTTTCATGTTTTCTCTCAAATTGTCTCTCTAAAGTAGCGAAATGCTCCCATGTTAAACCCAAACTCACTGACAACTGGATTTCGCTTAAATGTCATTCACAACTGAACGCTTACGTCAGTCCGTCCTCAGAGAGTTCGGAAGGGTCTTCTCTCTGGTAAAATAACTTAATTCATAATGGTTAGATTGTAGTTACCAGGACAGAAGATTCTTCTTGTGGATGCGCAGCTGTTGAAGGCAATCGATCGTGTAGCCAGCATGTCCATTTTAAGACAGTTGTTGGTCACGAAGGTGTTCAAAATTGCTGAAAGTCCTCCGAAGGCGGACTATGAGAGGTAAGCTACCTTTCTTCAAGCTGTGTTTGTTTTGTTGGATGACATAGCTTTCCTGTAGTATTTCGGACCAGCTGTACTACCGTGATTGTTTAAGAAAGCAGATGGCGTATCGAATTGAGCTGATGCATATTTCTGCGTTGTACATTACTGACTGACTTGGGATATGACTAAGAACAAAAGGCTCTCGAATCCGATGCTGAAGAACAGGAGCCCAAGACAAGCGAAATCATGAACTTACGTGCTTGTTGATGGGATTTTTGACTAAATAATTAATTTTGAACATTGGCAAGTTTAGCAGTAAGCTTTGTTCAATGACGCATTATAACCTCTTCTCCTAATCTACATTTTTCTTTCCGGGAAATTCGTCAACCAAATGTAATGATAAATTCCATCGTATTTAATTTCTAATTAACATTTAATGGAATAGCAACTACGCATCAACTTCTGGCTAATTTTGAACATAACACTACTTCGATCCGCTCTGGGAGCCAATGTGCCCCCCAAAGTTCGTTATGTCAATTCAATATTCTATCTTGGTGTTAAAACTTAAGAGTTTACTCGTAGTCATCAGTTGAGATGGCTGGGACACGTGTTACGTATGCCCAACCACCGACTGCCCCGACGTGCAATGTTTTATGGCGTAGGAGTAGGTTGGAAGAAAGCTAGGGGCGGCCAGACCAAAACGTGGCACAAATCTACGAAGTCACTGACAAGTGGACTGAGCCATGTTGGTAAGTGTAGACTAACTGGTTGGAATCCGCGAGATGATAGCAATCGATGGTTAGAGACCGTGAATGACATGGCTCAAAATCGTTAGCAATGGCGAAGGTGCATACACTCTTTGTGTTCTCCCAAATTCTGGTCTTTTGAATTCTTCATGTCTCTATGTTTTTATATTTCCAAATTCATTTCACTGGATTATATTCTTTGAATAACATCTTCAAACCCTAATCTTTCGGATTACTGCTTATATTCTTACTACTACCACAATGGGATTTGAATCCACAACTGCATTTCTGTGGTAATGTGGTATGGCAACTCGAACTGATATACGTACGTACAAAGTTCTACGTTGTGACTGATTGACTCTTAGTCTAATTGCTCATCACACCAAACCAGCTAAACAAAAGACAAGTACTCTCTCCTTCATCATCCTGTCCATGAACTACGTATCAAATTACCACTTCAGTATCAAGTTTGTTTCCATCGTTCATAGTGATTATTTGTTTACTGATTAACACAGCTCTCGAAATCAAATCGTGGTAGTTCATTGGTGCATATAATATTTCAGTTACTTATCTCCGTGTACTTAAGTCATCTTAGGGAATGAAATTTAAACGAGTTCTATATGCATTTGTTTTAGAGTTTCACTAATATAAAATTTTTTATCCGATTTAGGATTGCATATATGATCCCACCAGAGTTTAGCTCATGCTTATCGGTAATTAAACATTGTGAAGTGGATCAATCGAAAAATATCAAACGAACAAGATTGATAATATTTGTCCCCAAAGAGGTATCTAACTTTTTCTGGTTAATTGCTTAAAGCAGCGATATATTATGCACTTTGCTGCTTAAACTTGATTTCTAAGGACTTTTCATACAAGTATGTGTTAGTCTCATTTCTGAGTTAAGTACGCGAATACTGCCCCCAAATGCCCTGGTACGATCGAGAGTGGGGAGAGTCAGCTCTCCCTCTCGAAATGCTCTCACATGGCAACGCGTATATAACCTCTGCCAGGGAAGTCCGACTCACTGCCTCCTCTTGGTGGGGGTGTTGTTCACGAAAGTGAGAGGACGAAAAGCGAATGTCTGGTACTTCAACCGGGTTGGTGGATGTGGAATGTCCACCCAGGGGAGTCGGAAAACCCTGATTCCAAACCATTAGTGCACATAGGCTCCAGTATCGTGAGGGAACAAATGGCGTATCAATCAATCATTGGTCACCGGCTACCATGGGATTGCATCTCCTTATGATGCTCCACTGCCTTGTAGATCAGATCTTTAGGTCAAAGGTTCGGGTGTGGCCCCCCAAGAAAACCATCTGTTTCAGTCTGGGCACCCGGGCAGTATCACAGCCCTAACACAAATCGAATGAGATTTGTGCGGCGCGTATCTATCTGGTGCTTCGTTGTACCAATATTTATGTGTTTAAATAAATAAAATAAATAACACGAGCACTCGTCGTATATCTGGAAATTTATGTGAAAATGCAACATTTTCGCTTCACAAACCTTTTAATTCACTATCTAGAAAGGTTATTTAAACAAACAACAAGTGTGAAATATAGGGAAGACTAAATCAGCATCCATATCCCGAAAACTTGTTATTTTAGGCTAAAGAAACTCATTTCCGCAACACCACAATGTTTTACTTTTACGCTACAATCGACAAACGTAACTGTAGATATCATCGTTAGTTTTATATATTTGGGCTTCAGTTTCATGCACTTCATCATGATCGATAGCTGATTTTCAACCCAAGTCTCAAGTTTGAACCCTGCCCCATCTACTTTGGTTTGGGCAACTGAGTAGTATCGTTACCCTTCATACTTCGCGTGGCTCATACCGAAATACCTTATGAATGAGTTATTAACAAAACTATTCGTTCATCGTGTAAGCAATTTTCTGGGTGAAAATCATGTCCCTAAAAGTCGAACGAAACAATCAAGCTGAGATTGATCGCTAAATAAAAAGTAAATTGAAAAATTGCGAGACATTATCACCATTATCCTCATAGAAGATGAATTAATAGCATGTTTTGATGTATGCTCTTTGTTCACTAAAGTTCCTATTAAGAAAGCTTTAGATATTGTATATAATCTCTTAAATTCTGACACTGAACTTAAACAACGATGTTCATTAGGTCCCTGGATTTTTGTTTACATTCAACTGTTTTCAGTTTTCGAGATCTGTACAGACAAACAGGTATGGTTATAGGATCATCGGTTTCTCCAATGGTTGCTAACTTATTCATGCATTCATTGGGAACGAATGCAATCTCAATGTGCCCCCTTCCACCAAAAGTCTGGTTAAGATGCGTAGATGACACTTTTGCCATTATAAAGGAAGATAGTTTAAACGAACTGTTTAGGCAAGTTAACAACATTTTTGGCAAAATCAAGTTCACTAAGGAGTTGGAATCCTCTCTTTTTTAGAATGTTTGGTTAAAAGGAAGTATAGCGATTGTTTAAAAATTAGTATATTACGAAAGTCAACAAATTCAGGGAAATTTCTAGATCTTAAGTCAGCACATCCTCACTCCACCAAAGTGATAGTGGCCAAGAATCTGATAACTAGAGTTCATAAACTTGTCACTGAACCAAATATATAGTAACTGAAATGAATTTAATTATATCCACACTAATGATGAATAATTATCCGAGGAATTTTGTAACAAGAATAAGTAAGAACGAAGACCGAAAATATATTAAAACAAGAGTTAAACAAAAAGAATAGGTTATCCCATATCGTAAAGACATTTCAGAGGAATCTTAACTCTTCAAAATGTAAGAGTATTCTTTCGAACAAACAACACTCTAATATGGAAACTAATAAGAATCAAAGATCCATTTCACAAGAAGGAGCAAAAAAATAGTGTTCATGAAATCAAGTGTAGTAACTGTAATGCCACTTGTGCAGTGAAACATCAAGACAACATTCCTAAATCCTCAGATGGTGTAAGAAAACTCGAAAACAAATCAGCTGTAGCACTACACTCCGAATTGGGTCATACGATTGATTTCAACGACACAGGAATCCTTCAAAAAGGTTTTAACTCTTACAAAGAAAAACTAACTATTGAAGCCCTACACATATGAACAAATCCAAATAGTATTAATAGGAGAGACGGAATACAATTAGCTGTTTAATGGCAACTAATAATTAATACGTAAACCTGAACTCCTTTTTCCATTTTATCTATCTCTTATTGTCTGAATGACAGCAATTACGTTAAATGGCTCTAGTCAGTTGTCTTATCAATATGTTAAACAATTAACTGGAACAATGAAAGTAACACAAACATTCATTTACAAATACATTCTTCCTCTTTAATTCATTGCTTTATTTTGTTTATTTATCTTCATGTTATGCGTGCTGTGACATTCGATTCACTGGTCAAAGGCAATATATAATGAATGAAGTTTCTTCTCACACCACTTACAAATGCACACAATCTGTTATCCTAGCACACTTTTCGTTTCACATCACATATCTCTTACATACTAAAGCAAATACCTACTTTAATTATTGTTAACGTTGATTAGATGACCTATCTAGTATACAGTTAACCAGAGAATTATGTACCTATTCATATTCGATAATTTTGATGTTTGATTATAATTGTGTGAAAAGGCTTGGACCAGATTTCTAGGCGAAACGTTGGATTTACTTCAAACTTATTCGCTGAGATTTTACAAATACATTTTTCCTCTTTAATGGAGGAAAATGATTTATTAAAAAAGAAGGAAAACTGGTCCAGTACGAAACACAATAAACTTATACACAACAAATTAAATCTACCTCTCACATTCGATAAAGAAAAAAGCACTTATTTCCCTTGATATTTCCGCCTTTTCATGTTTCGCTCCCGATGTATCAACTAAATGTATGCTACTAATGATAAGGGAAACAAAATGAATTAGTCAGATATGGCAATGTTGTATGTACGTTTTTAAGTAGTTCACGGGGTCTTGGTGTTCTAAAATGACTACTAGCAACCAATCTCAACAAAATTAAGATGTTAATTAATATTACTTAATCCTCGTAAATATTAAGTGATGATTACTAAGAAAATATAGTCTACCACATGAATGTCTGTATGTAGTTACATTCTAATTTAAGGAAACTCTTTTAGTCTGAATTTAAAGTTTAATTCTAACTTGAAGTTGGTGAAAATTAAGCATATGATATCACTATTCTATCTATTTTAATTTAAATATCCCGTTTTTATTTTGAAAAAACTTCTTCGTTTTTAGACTGTAGCAGTGACCTATCTTCTGGAATCTCAAGGTTTTCTTGGTCAACATTTATGTACCGCAAGTTTATCACTCAGTTGGATTCAATTAGATACAGATTTATTAACATTAAATTTGCCGACGCTATTTTCAGACTACTATTTGTACAAAGATTATTGTTGGCCTCATTATATGGGCATGGAGTTGGGACGCTTGCTTAAATTAACAAGTGAAAGTGATTTAGCTCCCATGGGTTGTCGAGTAAGTCCATAGTATTATTTACACATACATTAATAATAGATTACTTCTAGGTAAGATGGAAAAAAATCTTGTTGTCATCGTAGTCATTTACCTATAATAAGCATTTACATGGTATAATTGTACAAACGGACCTTGTAAGCAGCTCACAAGCAAATTAATTTTGCAGAACCAGAAACTAATATTTTTGTATGATTTTTATGTTAGTCTCTTGACGCCACTTTTGTGATTAAACTTATCTGTCATTTCATCGGATTATCATGGTTTGTTTTATTAACATTGTTTGTATTTCTAATGGTTTTTGACTTTCTTCAGGGTTAGTTTTGTTATGTCATATGATATGATGTTACACTATAACTTAAATAATGCTTTCGGAGATATTATTGTCCATAATCGTTTCAAAGCAATCACATAATTTTTAGACTTGGTTTTTATCATCGCTTTTTTAATTGCTGAAAAATTCCCATCTTATTAAAACTCAATTATATAATTGCTTTTCTAATTCCTTGTTTGACTGGTGCAATGTGGTTTTTCAAATGCTTGAAAATAAGCAGTGAACCATCCTAATAGCATTCTTTAGTTTTCCGGTTCATGCGCTGTGTACGAAAGTTATGGTTATAAGAAATTTAACTAACAGAAGTATTAAGCTTGTTACAGATAAGGAAGACCAACGAGTTGAATTGAATAGAGTTTTGTCTACACTTAGGGATAACAACTACCCAAAGGAGTTTTTAAGGAAAAATTAAGCTAGAATGTATACTAAAAGATTGGAAGTCCACCGTGGTCATCCAATGCCGTAGTGAAACATGGGAAGAAATCAAGCGGATTCTAAACAAGCATGATGTAAGAGTGTATTTTCGGGCGTGTCTCACCATAAGATCGGGATTAGTGAAGGTTAAGGTTAAATTCCGAAGGAAGAACAACAAAATATTGTCTATGAGATCAACTGTCATGATTGTAATGCAGCTTATGTGGGAGAAACATCCAGACCATTAAATGCAAGGTTTAAGGAGCACAAACAGCTTTTGAAAAATGTCCCCAAATCCTCGGTTGACATAATGAAACTTGAGAATAAGTCTGCGATAGCGTTACATGCGTTAGAAACAGGACACAGTATTAATTTTGAAGGGGCCAAGATACCTCATAAAGAAAGTTTGACAGCAGAAGCGCTGTATATATTATTGATTAAGAACAGCGTAAACAGAAATGATGGTATTCGGTTAGCAACTACTCGGCAAATATTCATTAACAAGTAATTGGACCCTTTATTCAACCTGTTTATTTCACATGCATTGTTATTTGGATTGAAATTAATGTTAGTTATTTTTAGCAGTAGAATTATGTACATTTTTACTTGCAATTTAATGATTCAGTAACAGCTTTTCAACCTTCAACTTACAATTTTATTTTTCCTTCATGTGAAAACATATTAACACCAAATATCACTCATTAATAACTCATTCTTACACATACATACACACACACACAATTCCTTCAGTCATTTATTTTCACATGTTTCACATTTAACTTGACTCATGTTGTTCTATTTACTAAAATCAACATCCAAATATAATTAGATTAGCACAGTATAAATTTGATTGTTAAACGCTACATATTTCTTTGATGAATTTAATTTTGATAATTACCCTGAAGAAGTCCAGATAAGTTTGGTGGACGATACGTTGGGATTATTTAAATTTCAATCGCTGATATTATTTCAAATATGATTTTCACATATAATGATGAACGATGATTTAGTAATCGAATTGTTTTTGGATTTATCAACATTGTTTCTAAATCTTGTTTCATCTCACCATTCTACATCATTAAGTGTCTGTGTGAACATTATTGTAGCTGAAATTTTGTTTTGATTGCTGATTTTAGAAGTGTACCATTTTATCACTTTAACCCAAATCACTCATACTTCAGTAATATTGATTTCATATCTGGTACAATATTCACTTCTGACATTTAAATATGCAGGTAGAATTGTTCACCCCGCTAAGTTTTGGTCTAAGTTAATATGTAAATCTTATCAATATGTATAAATCACAGCTTTTTGAAGATTGGAAATTAAGCTTTTAGTGTAAATTTATAATGGTAATATATTTGTAAAAACTTATTAAGAAGTAACTAGACTATTAATTATAATCTAGACTAAAATGAACTGTATTATTGATCGACAGTTATAGGTCATAGTTAGGAGAGCATGACTTAAAGTATATCGCAGTAGTGTAAATGTACTCCCTTTCCTTACTCTTAGTAGTAAACATCTGATTACTAAATATCCTCGATTCTATATCATAGCTTGTTTTCTTTCTTGTAATCCTTTACTATCGTCAAGTCATTGTTCCCTCTTGTTTTCAACTAAACATTTATCATAACAGCTGTTCAACAGTAAATGTAGATAGGTTTTATTAATCTTAGTGCTTATCTTTACTAACCACCAGATTCATGCTTTCGGAGAGGCGTCCAATGTTGTTGCTGCTGGTATTCGTTTATATTGTATCCAGTCAGGTCTGGTCAGTTTGGATAGGAAGGTTCCAACTATTAATTGTAACCAGTCAAATTATCGAAGTAATGTACCAGTTTCTGATGAAAGTATTTTAACTCCTAACAATCCATTAAAAATGTTGGGCTCACAATCATCATCATCTACGTCATTGCCAACTACTTCTGCACGTCCACCACCTTTGGTTCTTGTATTCAGTCGTGGTTAGTTCTCATACATTCCCTTTTGTGATTCTTTTAAAATAATACGGAAAATTAATCCTTATATGCATTGTCATTGAGTCTAACCACTGTGAACCTTTTTTTTCGAAATAAATTACTAAACGGTGTTTTAAAACCAGTATTAAAACGGTATGTAAAATGGGTATTCTACTTTTTTTCGCTTTCAAGAAGACGATGATCTGATTGACAAGAAATACCTCGAGGGCACAATTACGTACGACTTTAAAGGATCTTACCCATTGCTAATTTTTTTCTAAATAACGACACCTCATGATAACTAAACCAAAACAACACTTATTCACAAGGTTACCGACCATTATCCTTAATTGTATGACTTCAGTTCTCAATTAAAATCATAGTGATGTTAAGGATCAGTAGTTCGAAAATATGATTTCTCTTTGTTTCTCTTCCCTGATATCGTATTGCATTTTGTCTGTGTTCCTTACCTACTCATTTTATTGTTATTCTTGTTCTCTATATTCTTTACTGTTGAAGAGTCTCAGTGTCTATGCTGTTTGGTTTCAAGTGGCTTTTCAGATTACATCAGTTCATAATATAAAAACTTTGAGGTTTATGAATGCCTAATAAGCTCTCCCAGCTAAAAATAATGGTTTCTTAATGTACAAATTGCTTTAAACTTTGAACGGTTGTTTTCATTATAAACAATAGAGATAAAATTATACTTTAAAGATGAATTTCTATCGAAATGAATGAAAAAGTAATAGTAAGTAATTAAATGCAACTTAATGAGCTCATACCTTAAGGCTTTGAGCTTAGTTTCTCGGTACTATAAAACTAGCCATATAATGTTGATTAAAGTTAATGGCTGGTATTCTCATCTGCAGCTTCCAATTCGTCATGTATAAGTTTAACTATTTGATCAATATGTATTACATTTTCTAGTGTTTGCAATGATACTGTATTCTAATATCTATCACTTCAAGCTTTAATATTATTCATCTGATTGGTAGTAGGTACTAGTTTCTATTCTAGTCTGAAATCTCACTTTTTTAGCGGAATTAATCGAAAAGTGAATGTGATGATGCTTTGAGCTATTGCGTTGAAGTTTAGAAGCTTTAGTCGATGAACTACTGCTTTGCTACTGAAAATCTTTATCGGTTATATCGTAAATCATGGGCATTGTTTTCACAATTTGACCCAAAATTCAGTAGATTATTTAATATTGACTTAACTGTTGTACATTAATGATATAATTCGTAAAACATGTCTGATTGTTACTATGGGACACTTTGCTTTGTTCAATAGTCAATGAAAACAAATAGGTTATAAAAGGATTACATCATTGTTATATTAAATGCACTTTTAAGAATCGAATTAAATAAATTTAACCTCAGTATTATTGAAATAAAGGTACTCTGAGAGAATATATAGGCCTGATGTTGCATAATTTATTGCTATTTACGTAGTGTAAAATATTATTACTCTACTCTCCTGATAGTTTAATCCACAGTTCATGCACAAATCTTTCTTGTTGCTAAGATTATCTGATTTTAGGTTTTATTTCTATTTGATCCCATAGATCTGGACTACGTAACGCCTCTTTTGGTTCCAATGACATTTGAAGCTCTGGTTCACGAAGTTGTTGGGATAGAATTAGGTATATTAACGTGCAGTTTTTATTTTTGTTTACTTATTTAAATATTTCTTCACCATTGAGTCTCATCATTTTGAATATCTAATCTTTTATCATAGAACTTTTACAGTTTAACTATGATGTTCACAGTTGTACGTGGTATTATTGTGTACATATTTCTAAATTCAGCTTACAAAATATTTAGCTTGGCTTAACTATTCCATTGGAGTTGTTACTTATGTCTCCAAAAAGAATGTTACTCGAAATACTTCCGAACTATATTGAATCTTAGCTTATTTCGTAGTAATTCTTTTAAGTAGATCTATTTAAATTTCCTAGTTAAATATGCTTTATTCACTCATCAGTGGGATTTATTTGTTGTTTGAACATGTTGTTGACCATAAATCTTTTCGGTTTTTGATTTGTTTACTTAAGTTGGTGTCTTGAATTTCTTGTTCAGTACTTTGAATTCCCTTATGGCTGGACGTTCCAACTTTTTAAAGGTAACCTGAAGACTAATTAGTGTTAATTATTTTATCGGGAAGTATTTTGCAGTTGTTTGCTCTGCTCCAATGTATTGCTGCTATCGCTTATCAATCTTTGTGGATTCTTCTGGATTATTCTATATCTTTTTACATTCACAGTTTGTCCTAGTACGAGAAATCTTAGTAAAATGTCTTTATTTCATTAGTTTACCTGCATTTGTGTTGATAAGACTAAAGTTTTGATAACCTTCCAAACTTACTTGTTTAGTTTTTGGTTTGAAATAAATATCAGGTTATCATATTTGATTTCAAGTACCTTCACTCCTCACCTTCATTTGACATTGATATAGCCTAGCCAAACGTACCTAATAATAATAATTTTCGTAATAGTTCACCTTTTCCACTGTTAGAAAAATAAATGTGATGTAAAATTTTTGATGGTTATTCATTCAGATATTTTCCTTCTAGCTTGTTTGTATATTAATCATCCAGGTTATCCTAAACTATTGCCGTATCTCAGAAAAACTAATAGAATCTTTTGGTCATACTTATTCCTTCCATTGATTTCAAGTTATTTCATTGGTTTCCTTTTCTATATAAACTTTTTAAATGTTGATTTTGCACCTGTTGGTCTTCTAATCAACCTGAACTGTTAAGACATCACGGTTAGTTAATGTGCTGTGGTGCTCTATTCTCCTGAATGCATTATGTATCATTAATGTTATAAATATAACCTGTGATTGCAACTGGGATTTCACTCATATAATCCAAATAAACCAAAGAGAGTTAACTCTTGTTCTAAACTTGTCAATAAATGGAAAATTGGTGCATTATTTGGCGTTCTATCTATCAATGAGGATTAAGTTGAAGTTGTTAATTCACACAATTTTTGCCTCATTCAGTAAATCATTACCACAAATAACACCAGTTTATTTGATATCTATGGATGCATTTCAATCCACAAGAATGATACACTGCATTATGGAATCCCACTTTCAACCTGTTCATTAAAGAGACCTTTAATATTGAGTTCTTAGATTAGTCTTAAGCAAATCTCATGGATTTTATTTATATGCATTTAAAATAGAATTATTAAAGTCTTGTAAAGGTACTGCGATCCGTATGACTAACTAATAACACTGACGAATTGTTGTCTATTTAAATTCTATGAGTGTAGGAAAGTTCTTATTAGCGGATTTCGATTCACTGGCTCATTAGTAATATGCTAGTCACATGACTAGTTTTGGATCTCAGAATCCATCGATGATGAAAGTGTTTAGTTCTAACGATATAAGCGTTAGTTCTCCTTAGTAGACATGAAATAACTCTATATATTGTATGTAGTTCTGTAGCACACTGAGACTGCTCTTTAACTACTGTTATTTCCTTTGTACCTGAGTTTCCCATTTTGCTACTTTTTATATCGATTAGAACGTAATCACAGCAGTTATGTGTCTATCTTTGCCCTTTTTTATTCGGATTTTAGGTCAAGTTGAATTACCTCCAGAATGTACTGATGAATCGACACCACAGAAACAAATTCTTGACAGCGCAAAACTACACTACTACAAAGTAATTTTTGTACATAATTTCATTGTATATTACATGATCTTTTGAAATTCGTAATCAAACATTTTATTAACTCTAATGCATGAAGATTTGTGCTAATAAGAAGACTGAGTTGATTTATTTAATGTTCATCACAGTCCTTGACTCCTTTTTTATTTAGCATGATGATTGCACTATATTGTGAATTGGTTGAATTTTGAAACGGATTCTCGTTGCAATCTAAAGTTGGAATGGTCGCCGCCAAATCGAAAGACCATGTAATTTAAATTTCTTTCTAATCTCAGGTATACATTACTGTAGACTCATAAACCTAAAATTAAACAGCTATCTGGTTACTCCAGTTAATGTTGGTCAATGATAAAAACTGTTTTGTAGTATTTGTGTGGAATTTTGGGCGGATTTAAAGCTTATGAAAACTAGTATACAGCTTTAGACAAGAAAAATTCACTGGAATATGGCGATATCACAAAACTCCTAGTCTCATTCTTATTTATTTATTGAAACACATGAATATTGGTACAAAGAGGCACCAGATACATATTCGCTACGCAAATTTCATTTGATGTGTGAGGGCTACGATACTGTCCGGGTGCCCAAACCAAAGCAGGTGGTTTTCTTTGGGAGCCACACCCCGAGCCTTTGACCTAAAGGTCTGATCCACTAGGTAGTGGAGCATCGTGAGGAGATGCAGTCCCATGGTAGCCGGTGACCAATGATTGATTGATACGCCATTTGTTCCCTCAGGATACTGGAACCCCTGTGCACCATTGGTTTGGAATCAGGGTTTCCCAACCATCCTAGGTGGACTTTCCGTGTCCACCATCCCGGTTAAAGCTCCGGGCATTCGCTTTTCGTCCTCTCGATTTCGTAAACAACAGTAATTCCACAAGAAGGCAGTGAGTAGGACTTCCTTGGCAGAGGTTATATACACGTGACCGTGCGAGAGCATTTCGAGAGGGAGAGCGGATTCTCCCTACTCTCGGTCGTACCAGGGCATTTGGGGGCTAGTCTCATTCTGAGGTCTTTGAATGACGCTATAATTTATTATTGTAATGTAAAGATTATGGTTTCTAATCTTAAATCTTTCCATCTCCTGCTGATTAAGATGACCAAAGTATAACCTTGGAAATAGTTCCATTATCCAGTTAACAACAATTCCGAAAAAGGGTAATAGAATATAAGCAAAAAAGAAGATACATAATTCAGTTAAAAAAGTCCATGCGTATTTGATTATTAAGTGGTTGTGTAGGGTGTTTTGTTTGGTTCAAAAATAATTTTCTTCACAAAAATAATATTAATGGTAAATCTTTTGAAAAGTGTGAAGCACTAGACATCTAGTTCCAGGTTCTTCATTACATATACATTGCAAGACGATCAAGCTGAGGTCCTTTATATCTTGTAGCTGATTCGATCACACAGGGTCACTGAATCACCAATTGTTCTAGGTGAAAATGATCGCAAAAATATAGAAAATGTACCGTAATACCACTTCATTCACTAATAACAGTGTACTCACTAGTATTTAACGTCAGTGTATTTTTCTCAGCGTCCTAGAGGGAAACAGTGACTTTTAAAGTCAAGAGCATTACAAGTAAAACACTAACTCACCAATGATTGTTTTCAATGCTTAAGTTTTGTGATTTTGTGTATTTCGTCTAATCATTCATAATCTAAGTTCCTAGATGGTATTTTTACTTGATTTTGCCTCTTGTTAAAATATGTTTCAATAATAAGATGGTGGTTGGAGGTGGTCAACAGGAAACCCTGGACTCGGGTTTCGTGCTACTTGGCACTCGTCAGCAAAGTGTACCTGTAATCTTAAGGGAACTGGTGCTCCCTGACAGATTCGATCCCGTGTCACTCAGCCTCACAGTCAGAGACGTTACCACTGAGCTATTCGGGTCGTGGCCGACCTCCTGTAGGACTGAGATGTAACCATAATTGATTGATCACTGGGTGGTGATCAATGTCATGCGTGTCAAGTCCTTCTTAGTGCTGATCGAATGCTGTGTTTCAGTAATCCATCCATACTTTAATTTATCAGTATTTCTTTAATAATGTAACGATTATTTCTGGGAAGTTAGTTTGCTACATGCTTCCTTATATATAGTTTCTAACTTTTAATAGTATGAAGTATGCTTTTAACAGAACTTTTTGCCTATACATTTATCATTCATGTTCAGACATCGTTTAGCTAAGGATCTATGAAGCTACAATTTTTTACACCTTACATTACCAATTCGAATTATGTTAACAAGAATAGACCTTATTTACTCGTTTGGACTACTTAGTGGTATGTGATGACTGCAATTAGTGTGATACCTTCTCTTAATGTTGTCTTTATTAAAGAAAAAGTTGAATTTATGGATAATAAGGTGCAATTATAATAATTGCGATTTTTCTGTGCATCATTCTTTTGATCAACCCAATTATAATAAAGTATCCGTATGAATAAAGTTGTTGAAATCAGTTTAGTATACTCTGGATTGCTTTAGAATAAGTTGTATTTACAAAATACAATTAGCGAGCAACAACTTTGTACAGAAATATCTCATTTTTCCTATTCGACAATTTGAATTTCTGCAAGACAGATTATGTACCAGTAAATAGCCACTATATATTCTTATCTACTTACTGGTCCCATATAAATGACAATAAAAATCCTAGTCATTTCATACAAATAAATTTTCCATGCTTAAATTACTTCACACTAACTTATTAAGTTTCGAACGTCTTCACTGAAACTCAATGTCTGCTGGCGTAACATAAAAAAGTTAACTCAAATGATTGACTATGGTTATACTTATATCGCCCCAGTGAAATGGTTGAATCGGTATGATATATTTCTGTAGATTTTTCTGATAATGATTCTACCTGAATTAAATATTATGAATATTCATCTAAAAAATAACCGTTTCTATTCCTTTCGTTTTATGAAGGATATTAGAGATGTCCATATATCTCGTGTTCATTCATTACTTTTGGATTGGCGTGGTAAACTTCAAGATTCACGTGGTGATTTAGAAATGCAATTGGTTAGTCAAAAATCTACTGTTCAGCACAAACAACATTCTAGTCCAAACTTAATTCAGACTACTAGTACTATTAATAACACCTATAATTTGCGGAATATTAGTACACGTCTAGGTCCATTTTTAGCTAAAAGACGTGAATTGTCATTTCTGTTAGCATGTTTAGAACAAGTGTTATGTGCAATGACACTTAAAGAACGTGTAGAAGATCTACGTACAGCACAAAGTTTATTATTACAATCCGGTAGCGGGGGGGCTCTTGCAATTGGTCAAGTTGGAATTCCCTCTATTGATGATGACAATGATGATGATGACTCTAATGCTGCTGATAGTAAACGAAAATTTACTCCAGTTTCAATTGGTGGTTCATGTGGTAATTTGGCGGATGTATTAAATTCTTTACCTATGCGTTTAGCTATCGAATGGTTGACTACACAGTGAGTTAAAATCTGTAGATTGTTCGCAAATCTTCATCAGAAACTTCAGTTTGTCAACATTTTTTTCATTACTTTTACAATATTTTGTATAATTCAGTTAGTTTCTGACAGTTCGGTTTTGAAAAGAAATGTTGTTTAAAAATAAACCTACATAGATCGAAATTAATAGGATACTGAATCTCTTCACTGGTGGTGTTCTCAGGGGAGTCTAAATGACTTCTGGCTTTATCAAACGTGTTCAATAGTTGAAAAAAGAGGCGTTTCACGTATGATACGTATAAGGAAATGAACGGTTTGATGAGTTGATTCTGATCGCGTGTTCAACACCTAACACCATGTATAGTGAGAATTAAAGTCATTTCACATGGAATGCCAACAAAATTAGGGATGTAAGTTGTGTACAGCAGTATATTACCATAATTAAGAATTTAGGGAATAAATTGGATGCTGACATAATCGTTTTGCTTATTATCAAAGTAATAGTGCATATAATGAAATTAATGGTAGATATCCACGTAGTGATAGTGAATAGCAGGATCAGGATAGTGTGTTGTAATGTCACTGGAAATGAATTGGAAATATAAACATCGTTATCCTGTCCAACGACTTCGTTTGATTCATCACGTTTTATAGTGTTACTCTATTCAAAAGCAATTTTTGAGTGTTTTGACAAGCGATTATTTCAATTACCTCGGCGGTCCTTGCATAACAGACAAAATGACTGAATGTGCTGCATCTCGAATATCTGATATTCTTTTTATTTGAGGGACTTCTGTATGCACTTCAGTTTTCAGTAACTGACATGCTTTCAGATTGATACGGCTTCCTATTTCCAGTAATTTTGGACTTCTTTGGAACACAAATTTTCTAGATACTCGAAACGTTACAGGTGAGATATTCTATTAGTGAGTTACTAATTAAACGCGGTAATCATTCCCACCGAAGAACATTGCGTATTATATGTATTCGAAAATGTATGATGCGCTTTCATAAAGTTGGTATATAGAGCATTGTTTATGGCAGAACTATCGTCACTAATGAAAGATTTCAGAAGTATTCTTACCAAAACACTGTCTCGAAAGAAGATTGAGAACTTTCTAATCAAGCTTTAATATGCTGCTCAGATATTTAGATAATGTACAGCCGCGCTTGTAAAGTCCATTATAGGTCTTAGTGAGATGTTTGGTTTATTAATTTTAGGTAAACTACAAAAATGTGATGTAGTGCATGACTTGCCATATAAAATAAACCATAAAAATATGTCAGTGACTGATTTTAGTTCTTTCAAAATTTGACTTGTCTCTGATTCGATTTTATTTTTAACTGTTTGAAGATCTTTTGATATGGTCTGGCATACGTGTGTATTTTAACCAACCGGTTGTTATCATTTACATAACCTTCAATTATCTCAACCTCTACATAGAAACAAATCAGCATGTGTACAGTATAACTTCGATCAATATATTTTTCTCTTAATCAGCTTTTCGTATCATAATTATTTACCTAATTATCTTAAATCACTTCTGAAGTTTTCACTCTTAGGTTTAGACGCAATTCGCATTATTATTGATAGTCATCCATCATGAATGTCCTTTTTTGTTTCTTTCCTTATGTATCATCTACTTCTGGGCTTAGCTGATATGCTTTATAAGATTTTTTCTAACTATCTAATGTTCACAAAACCAATATACATATCCGTTTGCTTCAGAATTATTGGTTTTTATGTGACCTTTTATTAGCCATGGTGATCATCTAATTGATGGGCTCCGTCTGGTTGCATTGAATTGTGTTTTACATGATGGATTAGGTGATGAATTGTACGAGGTAATGAGTCGTGCCATAATACATGCTGCTGGTCAAATCACCTTTCCTATGCTTGAAGCGTTATCCTCACTTGGGTTATTATATCCTCGTTCTAAACTCCCTGAAATATCATCTACAAAAACATCTATTACAAACAATCATCCAACTGACCCACAATCAAGCATGTTTGTGGCGCAAACAAATAATTCGACAAAAAAGTCCAGTCATTCACTAACTCATACTGTTGCCAAGTTAAAATTAACACAACGACAAAAATCTCGCTACAAGTAAGTTTTTTTATTTCAATGCTCTAAATAGATTGGATTGGTTCAAGATTTATCGTATTTGATGAATAACTAGTAATATGGTATTTCTATTTGTCTGTCCTCACTCAGATGACAAACTATGAGTCATGACAACTTTAGAGGGATCAGTCACCATTCAGACATTCCCTTCATACTCTTCAACTTCTGTCAATTAGTGTTGTGTCGTTTCCATCACCCAATGTCCTCAGTGAGTATCTCTGGCTTAATTGAACCAAAAGCTTATCTCATTAACCATCAGTGCGTAGGGAAGGGATCAAAAGCTTTTCGTGTTCAGTTCATCATTTTCTATTGAGCTTAGAACCGTAAATGGTTCCTAATGGACTTTCATCCTAGCAAATCTAATAATAAATTGACTAAACTAAAGACTTTATGTTATCCTATCTCAAGGTGATAGTAAAAGCTAAATAACAACATCAAATTTAAGTATAGAACAGTACTGACATTCTAATCTTAGTTGAAATTGTTCAGTTTTAAAATACTTTGAATCATAGACTAATTTCGGCTAAATAACAATCTCCACTAACCTTCCTTCCTAATAACAGTCAGTTATCCGTTTGTGATTAAATTTAAGAAGTATTCTTGAATACTCTATGACTGGTGAAGTTTAATCAATATTTAGAGACAAATATTACTGGTGAAGTTAGCGGTGTAGATCATTAGATTCCATCTCAGTCGTCCAAAGTTAATACGCTCTTCATAAAACTTATAGGTTCCTGGTCACGCACTATTGAGCAGACCCAAATAACAATCTAGGACTCCTTAACTTTCAACAGTTGTCTATTTGAGTTGATAGTATTTACTTAAGACAGTAATCTAAATTATGAATCATCCAAATCAGGCTGAAAAGAAAAAAACATATCAAGTTAGTTAAAACATATTTTTTCTGGAAGATACCATGATAAACTTTGTAAACTGAAATAAGGGCTAGGCTAAAATACCAATAAGAAGACTAAGACGAAAAATAGTAACATATTAAATAACCAGTATGCTTTATATTGTTAACTGTAAATTTTCTAGTTAGTTTACTGTTTGAAATAAATGTTATGACTGGATTCTCTCATTAATGATTACTTAAAATAGATCTTCATGGTAGAGATGTATTTATTTTTTATTGCACTTACGATAGTGTACATACTGTTTGCATTTTTTTACTTTCTCTTGTCCTCATTTTAACTCATTCAAGTTTTAACTTTGTTGTTCTGTTTGTTGAAAATAGATCAGGTTATCTAACTTTTATTTATTACATGGTAGTTCTTTCTCTAAAAGATATTGTTGATGACATTTTCTAATTCAGTTCTGCAGTACCATTGGTTGTTGTCATTTTTAATTTACTATTTTTGTTATCTGTCCCAAGGTGATCGATAAAGTTGTTCCTTTTCAGTTTTTGACTTCTGTACGGAGTATATCCGGTAAATCTTGTCTTTTGTATCTCTATTAGCGTACGGATTACTAACTTTAAGATGTTGTTATTTGACAGACCACCGGTCTGAGCCAATCTTTTTCACCGTATCAAAAGGAACTTCAATCGTTCGTAAACAATAGCATTTACTGTAGGTCAATCGGAAACGCCAATACTCTGATCGTTTTTGTAAAGACTAAAGACTCAGTCATTTTTGTGTTGTTTAGATGTACACCACCTTTACAACAAAATTTAACTGAACTTGTAAGTTGACTTTGTTGTAGTTAATTATTATGGTGTCCCACTTCCGTGGAAACATGCAAGCCTTCATGTGTAAATTATCAACTGAAATATTTTGATGAAGATTGTGATTAGCTTACGACAAAATAAACCATTGTTTGCTCATGTGATCTTATCACTAGCACACTAGATAATACGATATAATATTGATCAAGGGATTAGACTCACAACTCAACTATCTAGTTCAGAGAACTCAACAACGCCATAGGTCCAGTATTTAACGATATAAGTGACTCAGACATTTATTATCCGACCAACAATTGAGAACCAGATTAAAGTAGACAATAGTTTATTAGTACAATTCGCAAGTAATCAACACGGTGAAACCCGTGTAGAAATCAACCTTTTAATGTTTAAAAATGATCTGTATGTTTATTACAGCCGGACGTCTGTCTTCACTCGGTAACCAATCACAATTTAGTCTCATTTGATACATAGGAAGTTTTTTTTTCTGAATTTACTGGTGTTTATGCAACGAAATTACGTAATTGATTCTAATTATATGATGTAATGCTTGCGAATCTTTCCATCTAATGACTTACTTACTTACGCCTGTTACCCCTCGTGGAGGAGCACAGGCTGCCCACCAACATTCTCCACCCAACCCTGTCCTGGGCAATCCTTTCCAGTTGTTATTCATCCTTTTCATATCTGCTTCTATTTCCCTAATGTGTTCTTTGGCCTTCCTCTTTTCTGCTTCCCTTCAGGATTCCAAGTTAGGGCTTGCTTAGTGGTGCACTCTGATAATTTCCCCAATGTTCGTCCTATTCACTTCCAACGTCTTTTCCTAATTTCCTTTTCAGTTGGAAGCTGGTTTGTCCTCTCCCACCGAAGGCTGTTGCTGATGACATCCGATCAACGGATATTGAGTATCTTGTGTAAACAATTTTCTATAAATATTTGTACATTTTTGATAATAGTTATGGTAGTTCTCGAAGTATCAGCTCCGTACAGTAGAACTGTCTTGACGTTCGCACTGAAAATTGTCACTTTGATGTTGGTTGACAGTTGTTTTGAGTTCTATACGTTCTTCGATTGTAGGAATGCGCTCCTTGTTTTGCCGATCCTCGCCTTTACATCTGCATCAGATTCTCCTTGTTCATCAATGATGCTTCCCAGGTGCGTGAATGTCTCCACCTCTTCTGGAGTTCCTCTATTAAGTGTGATTGGGTTGATATTCTCCGTGTTGTGCTCGTGAAGGTTGCTTCTTCCTTTGTGTATGTTGAGGCCTACTGATTCAGAGGCTACTGCTACATTGTTTATCTTGACCTGCATTTGTTGATGTGTATGAAATAGTAGATCCAGGTCGTCTGCGAAGTTCTAATCGTCTAATTGATTCTGAGATGTCCATTGTATACCGTGCTTCCCTTCAGATGTCGAGGTCTTCATAATCCAGTCAACTACCAGAAGGAAGAAGAAAAGGGATAGTAAGCAGCCCTGTTTGACTCCGGTCTTTACTGGGAATGCATCTGTCAGCTGTCGTCCATGCACGACTTTTCACTGTAGTCCGTCGTATGAGTCCCGGATAATGTTGAAAATCTTCTCAGGAACTCCATAGTGTCGAAGAAGTTTCCATAAGGTCCTGGTTGTATCCACGAGATGATAGCAACCGATGGTTAGAGACCGTAAATGACATGACTCAAAATCGTTAGCGATGGCGAAGGTGCATACACTCTTTGTGTTCTCCGAAATTCTGGTCTTCCTAATTCTTCATGTCTCTATGTTTTTCTATTTCCAAATTCATTTCGCTGGATTATATTCTTTGAATAACATCTTCGAACCCTAATCTTTCGGATTACTGCTTATACTCTTACTACCACTTCGGGGTTTGAATCGACAACTACTTTTCTATGTTATTGTGTTATGGCAACTCGAACCGATGTATGTAAATACGAAGTTCTACGTTATGACTGACATGTCCACACTGTCAAACGCCTCATGGCCAATGAAGTTGATATATGTTGACCAGGCCTATGCAATTGATTGTTCAACGATGATCCGTAGTTTCGCAATTTGGTTTGTGTGCGACCGATCCTTACGGGTTCCAGCTTGTTGTAAAAGAAGTTGGGCGTCTACTGAATGTTTGATGCAGTTCAGCACCACTGTTAAAAACTTTATTTGGTATCGATAGTGTTGTGATACCTCTTTAGTTCCTAAACTTGCTCAGATCTCCTTTTTAGGTATATTGATGCGGTGTCCTTCATTCCACTCTGCATGTGGCACTTGTCCTTCCTCAATAGTGTGTGCATCATCTTTGCAGTAACATGTATGTTTATTTTCGGTGCTTCAGCTGGTATATTGTCAGGTTCGTCTGATAACCATTCCGATTCCTTCATAGTCAACGAAGTTGATATATGTTGACAAGTCCAATTCAATGGATTGTTCAACAATGATCCATAGTGTAGTGATTTGGTCTGTGCATAACCAATCATTACGGAATCCAACCTGTTGATCTCGAAGCCGGACATCTACTGAATCTCTCATCTGGTTCAGCAACACTCTGTTAAATACTTTTCCTGGCACTGACAGTAGTGTGATGCCTTTAATTCTGACACTTGCTCAGATCTCCTTTATTAAGTATATTGACGAGGTATCCTTCTTTCCAGTCCGTTAGCACTTGTTCTTCCTCCCAAATCTTCTTGAATAGAAGGTAAAGTGTTATGAATTTAAAAAATAAAGAAGGCCGTAAGCTAATTTGTTGTGGTATTATGTCCGGCTTTCTATACGTGAATTATTCACATGCGAAATACTACTTGTCTAATCTTAACACTGTGACAAATCAACGACATTCGACCAGCCCTTCCAATTGAGTCCAGAACACAAATTGCATCTTCTGCTATGCGAATCATTTATTACAAGCGTACTCGCTTTATATACTAAACAGACAGACAGACCTCATCACATCCTAAAATAGAAAATAATATTTGTACAAGATCAAGCCAAATGTGGCTGTGAACGTGGGATACAATAATCAATAAACTGATTATAATTTAGGGACAGCAATCCGTTATAATAATAATTCATAGATAAAAATGAAGCTTATAATAAGATGAATATAGATATACATAATCTAATTACTCAATAGTTAAACCACAAGAATATATATAGAATAATAGTCCATTAATAGGTCCTGGAAGTTACCTGTACTTACGTCTTCACTAGGATATAACATGAAGCACGTTTGAAGTTATTTCAATGTCTGACTTCAGTGCTTCTGCTGGTATATTGTCAGGTCCTGCTGTTTTCCCGTTCTTGATTTGTCTTATGGCCATCTTGAGTTATTCAACCGTTGGTGGAGTGAGATCTATGGGAAGGTTTGTGTGTGCTGCTTCGATGTCCGGTAGATTCAATAGTGCTGGTCTGTTCAGCAGTTCCTCGAAGTATTATGCCCATATTTCCCTCTGTTCTTGAATCTCCGTGAATGTCTTTCCTTCTTTGTCCTTGACTGGTCTCTCTGGTCTACTATATTTCCCTGCTACTTTCTTCGTTGTATCATATAGTTGTTTCATATTCCCTTCTCTTACAGCTTTTCCCGCCGTCGTTTCTAGTTCTCCCATGTATTTCTGCTTGTCAGCTTTAATGATCTTCTTCACTTGCTTATTTGCTTCTATGTAGTTTGCTTGTGACTTGACTTTCTCTGCATGTGTTCGACTGTTGTTAATTGCTATTTTCTTGTTCTTCCTTTCTTCAATCTTGTCCAGGGTTCCTATAGAGATCCATTCCTTATTGTGATGCTTCTTTTCGTCCAGCACCTCCTGACTTACTGAAGTTAATTCTTCTTTTATCCCTTTCCAGTTGTCCTCCATCTTAGTTTCTTCTTTCTGTAGATCCTGTAGTGCTTGGAACCTGTTGCTGAGAATTATCTTGAATTGGTTGAGTTTATTAGTGTCTCGAACCAAGGCTGGATTGAACCTTTGTAATGTTGTTACACCAGTTATTCATTGTTTCTTTAGTGCCAGTTTCATCTTGGCCATAGCCAGGTGGTGATCTGAAGCTATGTCAGCTCCTCTCCGGGTTCTCACATCTTCCATTGACCTTCTGAATTTTTTATTGATACAAATATGAGCTACCTGGTTCTCTGTGGTGTGATCTGGTGAGATCCATGTAGCTTTGTGTATGCGTTTGTGTGGAAATATTGTGCCTCCTATAAACAATTTTTTGAATGCACATGGATGCGCACTGCTGAGGAGTCCCACATTAGGACGGAACGGTCGTCCAGTGCTTCCAGGTTCTCCATGGTTTTCTAGCTTCAATTGACTCATAATCTCAACTATTAAAATTACTATCATATCCACACAAACCCCTTCTGATATTAAATATTTTTTAAATACTTTTTTTACCTTTAGCTATCTACATCATTTGTTACAGTTGAGCAATTGGAAACAGGCCAATAGACATGTTGATCGTACGGTTATTTCACCTACATATGTTTATTCTGGTCAACATTGCCCTTTAGTTGTTCGACTTTTAGAATCTGTTTGGTCAGCTGGTCTTTTAGACTCGAAATTTCAATCTGTTAAATCAAACTCTTCCGCTGCTGAGCAAAATCATTCAGACTTTGAACTAATTGCTCAGCCACAATTAATTGAAGCACTTAAACGAATGGGTCTCCCATCTGAAGGTATGTTTCTTCTAGTGACGATTATAAAGAGAAAGTTCCTTGATATTATATAAGTCTCATATTCTTAACTAATTAAATTAGAAATCAACATTTCCAAACTGTTAGGTGATAACTAAGATAACAAATCCTCTACCTCAACTTTGGGCTTGTACTGTTGTGGTAGTTTGAAGATTTTTATTGAAACGTTTTATTTTGCAATTAGGGCAATCAAAGAAAATTTTACAATTATTTTCCATTTTTATTGTCGGTTTGAGCACCCGGGCAGTATCACAGCCCTCACACAAATCAATGATATCTGAGTGGCCCATATGTATTAGGTGCACCCTCTCATACCAATATTTATATTATGTATATGTTAAGAGTTTTATTTTTAATAGATGATAAATCTTCACAGTCATAGGTCAGACGATATCATTTCATATTTCTACTAGTCAGTAGCACAAGGTTTATGGAGTGACAATTGCATTTATCATTCATTCATGTATCACCCGACCGTTGCTGCCACCTTGACGTGGCGGTCGGGCTTGCCTATCGTGATGAACCAGTCGAGCTATGCTGGCTGGAACAATCGTTCCTCAAGGTCCTACCATGCCAGACAGGTCGGTTGAAGAGCGGTAAGACTGAAAGCAGCAATCCCATGGTCCGAAGGCGAAGTCGTACTGCCGGCTGTACAGAGGTGTTACGGCAGTAAGGCGTTTCCTTCAGACAACCAGCATGACAGCGATGCTGCCTTCCCAAAAGGAGGAGTGTGGTTAGAAAAGGTCGATCCTAAAAATGCACACCTCGCCTTATCCCACGGATTTCCGTCTCCGGCGGTAAGGTCCTTTGAAGAACGAAGCTAACACGTCAAAAATTTCCCACAAAAAGGTCGTGCGTGACCGGCCTCAAGCAGTTGTCCCTTGGGCACTGCGGTCACGCTCCCAGGTCGTTCAGACCAACACTGATCCGACTTCTTTTTCAGGTCCCTCAAGCAATACCCTTCCACGGTGTGGGCAGCCGTGAAGTGATATTAGCCCACATACCCTTAGGACGTAGGAAAAACACTGCAAGGAAACCTCTTAGGGTTCTACTTAATGATAGACAAGCTAAGAATATATTTCGGGAACAACTAGAAAAACAGTTAGGCAGCCATGTAAGTTGTGCCCACCCCGAGGCGGCGTGGAATGACATCTGAAAAGCTGTGAAAACAGCAGTGATATCCGCTATTAAGGTAAACCATAAGGTTAGGGAGAAACAATGGATCTCGGCAGCGTCTACCGCACTGATAGATGCTCGAAAACTCATCCCACCTGGCTCTAAACATAGCTTAAGCGCAGGCTAATAAGAAGCCTACGCAATGATGGTGAACAGTGGTGGGTAGCGAAAGCAAGAGAGATGGAAAAGACAGGGGCAATAGGTAACAGCAGACAGCTATTCAGACTTGTTAAAGAAATCGGTATTATAAACCCAAATATCAGCAAAACTATATCAGTTGAAGATGGACATATCATTCATTCTCAATCCAGAAGATTGGATCGATGGGCAGAACACTTTAGGGATCAATTCAACTGACCTTCAGCCACACTTCAGTTACCCACGATCCCCAGCCGTCCTGAATGGCAAATTGAGGTAAGTCCTCCAACTCTCTACGAGGTTGAAAAATCTATAGGAAATCTGAAGCGAGGGAAAGCAGCAGGCCCTGATAGGTTTACTCGTGAGATTTTTAGAGATGGTGGTCCAGTACTAGCAACGAGACTGACTGAGGTCTTAGATAGAATCTGGGAACTGGACGTAATTCCATCTGACTGGTCCCAATCACTGATTGTGCCAGTCTATAAGAAAGGACAATAGTCCTCCTGTGACAACCACAGAGGAATCATTTTGACTAATATAGTATCTAAAATATTAACTTCAATAATACTTAGGCGCCTAACCAAAGCTCGTGAAGAGCAGACTAGAGAAAACCAGGCTGGTTTTCGACCTGGACGTGGTTGCATAGACCAGATATTCACTCTACGTCAGGTCCTAGAACATAGGCATACATTCAGACGTCCCACAATAGTAGTATTTCTTGACCTTAGGGCGGCATTTGACCCCGTTGATCGTGAGGCTCTATGGCAGTGTTTGTCACTGGAAGGAGTACCAAGGAAGTACATTAACCTCATAAAGGCTTTCTACTCGAACACAACTGATCGAGTTAGAGCCTATGGCGAACTGTCATCAGAAGTGGTTACCTCAAGTGGTGTTCGTCAGGGCTGTCCACTCTTTCCATTCTTGTTTAACTTTGTCGTCGACATGCTTTTAGAGATAACACTCTCATCATCTCAATCTCCAGGAGTTGAACTTTTGCCAGGAGGCTCACTTGTTGACTTAGAATACGCCGATGACATAGTTTTATTTGGTGAAGACACTGACAAAATGCAGAGTCTTCTGACCACTATAAGCAACAATGCAGGCATGTTCGGGATGCGATTCTCTCCCTCGAAGTGCAAAATGTTACTTCAGGATCGGGTTGCATCGACACCTGAACTAATGATAGGGAGTGAAGTAGTTGAGCGTGTCGACCGCTTCACTTATCTTGGGAGTCTCATCAGCCCTTGTGGTCTGGTGTATGATGAAATCTCAGCACGGATACAGAAGGCTCGTCTAGCTTTCACCAACTTTCGTCATTTATGGCTCAGGCGAGATATCCGTCTAGCAACCAAAGGACGGGTTTACTGTGCAGCAGTTCGTTCCGTTCTACTTTATGGCAGTGAAACATGGCCGGTAAGAGCAGTGGATATTCGTAGGCTACTAGTATTCGATCATAGGTGTCTTCAAAGCATTGCTCGTATATCCTGGGACCACCGAGTAAGTAATGCAGTTGTTAGAAAACGAGTACTAGGTAAGGATGGCAAATCGATTGATGAAGTAGTGAAACTTCATCAGTTGAGATGGCTGGGACACGTGTAACGTATGCCCAACCACCGGCTACCAAGACTTGCAATGTTCCATGGTGTAGGAGTAGGATGGAAGAAAGCTAGGGGCGGCCAGACCAAAACGTGGCACAAATCCATGAAGTCACTGACAATTGGACTGAGCCATGTTGATAGGTGTGGACTACCTGGTTGGGATTCGCGAGATGATAGCAACCGATGGTTAGAGACCTTGAATGACATGACTCAAAATCGTTTGCAATGGCGAAGGTGCATACACTCTTTGTGTTCTACTAAATTCTAACCTTTTGAATTCTTCATGTCCCTATCCTTTTTCTCTTTCCAAATTTATTTCACTGGATTATACTCTTTGAATAACATTTTCAAACCTTAATCTTTCACATAATGTTTATACTCTTACTACTTCTGCCACTATAGGATTTGAGTCGACAACTTCATCTCTGTGCTAATTTGGTATGGCAACTCGAACTGATGTACGTACGTACGAAGTTCTACGTTGTGACTGACTGACTGACTGAATTCATGTATCATCTTCAGTACAGATCCATTCTTACTATATCATTTTATTCCATCGGTGTGACGACGGTCCACGGGTGAACTCGAGGAAGCTCTAAGAAGCTCAGAAAGAGCCGAAGATATTCCATCTAATCATCTTTTGGAAAAATATTCCAGAATCTCTACGTGTAGCTTCCCTATTGAGAAAAAAATGCTAGAAACCCCTGTATGCAAATTGGATGAATATTTTGATGATTTCGTTTGTACTAAAAACTATAAATGCCTGAGAGTTTTGTACCATATTTGACACTGTTTGTAATAGCATTCCTTTCACTTGTCTTCTCGTTTGCGATTTGGAGTGTCCTAGCGTTCGTGTGCTGAATTTGTACTCGGAATATCAAGAGTCTGTGCTCTATACCTAATAACTGGCGAGGAGGTGAACTTATCGAGATATCAATTACGTTTGAACAAGTTGGAGCTTTGCTGTAGCGTCAAAAAAACGTTACAAATGGTTCCAGATTCGTATTCTAGAAGTTTTAATTCAGTAAATGAGCCTAAATGAAAAGGGGCTAACAGACGATACATTGAAATCCCATGTCGACCAAATCATTAATTCTATCCATGAATTTCATTTTGATGGTTTGAATCGTAGTCCAAGTGATTCAAAAATGCATTGAAGGTCGACCTAGGAAAATTTAATTATACATTAAACGTCAGAGTACTGCTACGCAAACTTGGCACAGCTGAACTTGAACGCTACACCAACTTCATTCTCCCCAAGAATCCCATCGTCGTCAGTTGTTATATATAAAGCTTAGATTCTTAATATTCCGAGTACAACTTCAGCACTCGAACGCTAGGACCCTCCAAATCGCAAATGAGAAGACAAGTGAAATGAATGCTATTAAAAACAGTGTCAAATATGGAATATTTTTCCAAAAGATGATTAGATGGAATATCTTCGGCTCTTTCTGAGCCTCTTAGAACTTCCTCAAGTTCACCCGTGGACCGTCCTCACACCTCCTCTCTTTAAAGTCTCTTGTGTAAGACTTTTTTCTCGGGTCCGCCTGAAACTTAGTTACCGAATTCCTCGCACAGTGTTGCTTTGCCCTTTCTTCTTTCATATCTTTTACATTCGTTCTCCTTAGGTATTTTTTGAGATGAATACACGAGCATTTCAAACGGGAGTCGGCTTTGTGGGATCAATGTCCTGTCATCCCTTTGAACTTGATTTATAAGTCTTATACACGTCCCGACATTTCTCCGGATTAAATACAGTACATTTCCGATCCGACGTTCTATGACACCTGATTTCCACTTCCTATTACCTGGATAAGACTTGACAGGTACCCTTTCCCCCACCTGGAAGCTGCGAGTGACCATCCGATACTCATTCTGAGGCTTATTTGTCTTTCTGGACGGTAACATACTGTAAAAGACTGTCCGAATTTTCTTTACGAACATGCACTCAGCTGCTGACTTTCCTTCTAGCACTGCCGGATCGGGGATAACTCTGTTAGACATTAAGAATTTACCGATCACTTGTTCTGGAATACTCTCTCCTCCCTCTTTGACCATAGCTCTTTTTATTGTATCCACGTATCTTTCTGCTTGGCCATTAGAATGTGGATGGGACGGAGGAGGCTGTAGATGCGATATTCCATTTTCACAGCAAAACCGTCTAAAAGCAGATGACATAAACTGAGTGCCGTTGTCAGTTACCATGATCACCAGAACCCCAAAGCATTCAAACAATCCTGACAATTTCTTATTGTACTCTCTGACGTCGTTTTCGATATGTCATATACTTCCGGCTATTTTGTGAAAGCATCGACAACAAACAAGTGATTTCTGTCTTGTATTGGACCGGTGAAATTAGCGTGTATTCTTTGTCAGGGTCCGTCTGGTTTTGTCCATGGTTGTGGTTCTGCTGTAGTCGGGTTCGTTGCGGCCCCTAAACAGGACCAACAACTGCGATACTTTTATTTTATATCATGGTCCATTGATGGCCAGTATGCGTAGCTTCGAGCCAGTGACTTCATTTTACTTATCCTCAGGTGCCCACTCTGGAACTGTTTAAGGACTTGGTGTCGAAGATTTCTGGAGACAACGATACGGTGGCCAAACATAATGCACAAATCGACAAATGTCAGTGAATATCGTCGACGAAAATATTGTAAGAGCTCTCCGTGTAGTCTAGATGAAGGCCACTTGTTGAGTATACAGTGGCGAACAATCTTCAACTCAATATCGTTTTCGCTAGCTTCTTTAATGACTTCAAATGTGATCGGTAGTTCGGAAACTGAGTCTGCCAACACTGTGCGAACCTCAGCCTCAACATCTACGGCAGCTACAAGTACCTCTTCTTGTTTTGTATGGGAACCAACTAATCTTGAGAGGGCATCTACTTGTCCAAAATCCGTTGTCGGTTGTTGCTTTATCTCGAGACCATAGCCCATCAGTGTAGTTGCCCATCGCTGTAGATGGTTCACTGTGTATACAGGGGTACCCTTGTTGGATCCAAAAACTGTCATTAGCGGTTTATGGTCTGTTAATAAGGTAAACTGTCTGCCAAATAGCATCTCGTGGAACTTTTTACAGCGAATATAATAGATAGGGCTTCTTTCTCTACCTGACTGTAGTTCCTTTCTGTCGTAGTCAGCGGTCGTGTAGCGTGAGAAGTTGCCTTCTCAGATCCGTCAGGGTAGGTATGTGAAATCACTGCTCCTATTTCGTAATTTGACGCATCTGCTGCGACCACAATTAGAAGACCTGGATCATAGTGTGTAAGCAGAAGGTTTGATGATACGATCTTTTTAGTCTTAAGAATGCTTCTTGTCATTCTGTCGACCAAACCTATTTGCTAGCCTTTTTTAGTAACAAATTCAAAAGGGCACGGAGACAATGCAGATCTGAAAGAAAAGTACCATAATGACTAACTATTCCCAAGAAGGAACGTAAGGTTGATACATCTATCGGTGGAGGCATGGTTTTGATAGCCTCGACATTTTCTGAATCAGGCCTTCTTCCGTTTTTGTAGATTATGAATCCCGAATAGACAATTTGCTCCGTGTAGAAATCACATTTCTCAGCACGTAATCTGAAACAATAATCCGCTATACGTCTGAAAACCATATCCACCTTATTTTCCAATTCAGCATAATCCGTACCTATGATTAGTATATCATCGAGATAGGCCGCAGTACCAGGAATATCTTGCAGCATAATGTCCATAACTTGTTGGAAGATTGAAGGGGTGGTCTTTACTCCAAAAGGAGGTCTGTTATATCGGAACAAACCTTTATGCGTGTTTATTGTCTGATAATGCTTCACTCTTCGGCTACTGGAATCTGTTGATAAGCTTCTGATAGGTCCAGTTTTGCAAAGTACTCCCCACCCCATTCACTTTCACAAATAAGTCCTCTGGTAACGGCATAGGGTAGCGCTGCATAAAGTGCCGGACGTTTTGGTCTAAAAACAGGGGTGGCTCCCGGTCTAAGAATCAGTAATGCTTCTGCCTTTTTGCATTCTCCTAGTTATTCCGTGAACACTTGACTATGTTTCTCAAAAACAACGTTCCTGAGATTCTTCTCCGCTGGTTTGTTAGAGAGAGAGAGAGAGCTTTTCTCGAAATCTTCACATCAGTTTACTGTTGATTTTCTCTATTTCAGAAAAATATTCAACTAGAAATTAAGCACACATTAATCTTTTTAATTCAGAGACTACTTCATAGAGAATAATTCTACTGCATTGAAGTTTTTACTTCACTTACATAATTTGATAATCGACTGAGATATCTGTGAAACAACTATTAACCTCAATTTTCACTTCTCATAGTTTAGTTGTCTTATCATTATTATTATTGTAAAAATACTATTTAAGTGAATACAATTTCCTAAACTGAATTTCTTTACTCATTAGTTACCTTCGATAGTACGTGATTTTCTGATTCTATGATACATGTATTTTGTACACTAATCATAATCATGGATTTATGATCATATCATTATTCTAATACATTATGCATAACTAACTGTCAAAACTTCAACTATTGAAATATTATTATTTTCTAGAGACTGTAAATAAGGAAATTTCTGTAAATCAAGTTAAAGGATTTTCTTTTTTTATTTCATAAGTTGCTTCAAATTTGGGTCTCGTTAATCTCTGTGATCCAACATTAACAGCTGCAGGGTATCAGCATGATATATTTTTTAAGAAGAACCGTCAAAATGCCCCACCTCCACATCCTTTACCTCTTGTAAGCACTGATCAACCTATTGTCGTAGCATTTCCTGGCGGTTGTACATATGGTGAAGTTGCAGCTCTTAGATTTGTTGCTAAACGGAGAAGATGGAATCTACTTATTGCTACATCGTGTATGCTTACATCGCGAGACTTGTTGCAGCAAGCTGGAAAAGCAGCAATGAATGTGAACTCTCTATAGGTTTTAAAATTTCTTGTCAGGCATTCTTTTGATTGTTTCCTCAAATTTTTGATGTTGGAATCTCCACTTTCAGGTTCTTTATGATGGCCTAGAATTGAGTGTTTTCAGTTTTATTGTTATTTGTTCTACTCAAATAAGGAATTTTTTTGTCATATAGGTTTCTTGTGTAAAAACTACTGACTTTTTTTGTTAAATATGTGATTTGTATGAAACTAGTGTTTTTACACAATAAAAGCTCATTTCTACATTCACTCCCTGTTACCAGTGTTATCCAAAAAATGCATTTTTATTACTTTTTTGCAATATTTCCGACAATAATTTTGTTTGTTTTTCCAAAATTATTTTTGCACTTTAGTAATTTTCATTCTTTCTCCCAATAAATTATATTTTTCTGTAATACAGTCTTGTTAAATACTCCATTTATTTCATTCAGACCACCTTTTTACGTTAATTTATCAGGTTTGGATTCTTTACCGTATGTGTTAGTATTTGCGCATCTAGCTGTTCATGAAATATTGTTTTTCCTTCAATCGAGTTCCACTGACCCGTCAAATTCTATAATGATTTAGGTGGAGTTTAGAGACGTCTGATGTTTCTCGATTCTAACTTTTATTTCTACCCTATTAGATATATAATTCATTACAACTGCTTTTAAATTGTCATGATAAAAATCTTGGTTGGTCGAAGTAACTATATCATTACAGAAAAATTAAAACAAATTATTTGCAATATCAAACGATTCATGTGTTTCTTACTAAGAATGCATAAAGACTTGACTTCAAAGCCATTTGATATTCTGAAACCCATTTATATTGATGAATCGTTGGGGCGTTTCATACCACAAATCTTCCCATAACTTACTATTAAATTCACTCAAGATCGACTGAATTCAAACTGCTAATTGTGTGTCACACGTCCACCAATATGTAATAATATGTTTCAGTTGATAACGCATATTTACATTGACAAGACCAGCTTCGTCACTAAACACGGACGAAAATAAGGCTGCTATTTAAACAGTCTTAAATATAGCAACTACACCGATCAGTCAAACCAACTGGTTGTCAATCAACGAAAAGACATCGAAATAGTTTTGCGTTGATTCAAAAGCTACTTATGAGTGACTTATGCCTGTTACCCCTTCTTGGAGGAGCACAGGCTGCCCACCAACATTCTCCATCCAACCCTGTCCTGGGTAATCCTTTTCATATCTGCTTCTATTTCCCTAATGTGTTCTTTGGCCTTCCTCTTTTCTGCTTCCCTTCAGGATTCCAAGTTAGGGCTTGCTTAGTGGTGCACTCTGATAATTTCCCCAATGTTCGTCCTATTCACTTCCAACGTCTTTTCCTAATTTCCTTTTCAGTTGGAAGCTGGTTTGTCCTCTCCCACCGAAGGCTGTTGCTGATGACATCCGATCAACGGATATTGAGTATCTTGTGTAAACAATTTTCTATAAATATTTGTACATTTTTGATAATAGTTATGGTAGTTCTCGAAGTATCAGCTCCGTACAGTAGAACTGTCTTGACGTTCGCACTGAAAATTGTCACTTTGATGTTGGTTGACAGTTGTTTTGAGTTCTATACGTTCTTCGATTGTAGGAATGCGCTCCTTGTTTTGCCGATCCTCGCCTTTACATCTGCATCAGATTCTCCTTGTTCATCAATGATGCTTCCCAGGTGCGTGAATGTCTCCACCTCTTCTGGAGTTCCTCTATTAAGTGTGATTGGGTTGATATTCTCCGTGTTGTGCTCGTGAAGGTTGCTTCTTCCTTTGTGTATGTTGAGGCCTACTGATTCAGAGGCTACTGCTACATTGTTTATCTTGACCTGCATTTGTTGATGTGTATGAAATAGTAGATCCAGGTCGTCTGCGAAGTTCTAATCGTCTAATTGATTCTGAGATGTCCATTGTATACCGTGCTTCCCTTCAGATGTCGAGGTCTTCATAATCCAGTCAACTACCAGAAGGAAGAAGAAAAGGGATAGTAAGCAGCCCTGTTTGACTCCGGTCTTTACTGGGAATGCATCTGTCAGCTGTCGTCCATGCACGACTTTTCACTGTAGTCCGTCGTATGAGTCCCGGATAATGTTGAAAATCTTCTCAGGAACTCCATAGTGTCGAAGAAGTTTCCATAAGGTCCTGGTTGTATCCACGAGATGATAGCAACCGATGGTTAGAGACCGTAAATGACATGACTCAAAATCGTTAGCGATGGCGAAGGTGCATACACTCTTTGTGTTCTCCGAAATTCTGGTCTTCCTAATTCTTCATGTCTCTATGTTTTTCTATTTCCAAATTCATTTCGCTGGATTATATTCTTTGAATAACATCTTCGAACCCTAATCTTTCGGATTACTGCTTATACTCTTACTACCACTTCGGGGTTTGAATCGACAACTACTTTTCTATGTTATTGTGTTATGGCAACTCGAACCGATGTATGTAAATACGAAGTTCTACGTTATGACTGACATGTCCACACTGTCAAACGCCTCATGGCCAATGAAGTTGATATATGTTGACCAGGCCTATGCAATTGATTGTTCAACGATGATCCGTAGTTTCGCAATTTGGTTTGTGTGCGACCGATCCTTACGGGTTCCAGCTTGTTGTAAAAGAAGTTGGGCGTCTACTGAATGTTTGATGCAGTTCAGCACCACTGTTAAAAACTTTATTTGGTATCGATAGTGTTGTGATACCTCTTTAGTTCCTAAACTTGCTCAGATCTCCTTTTTAGGTATATTGATGCGGTGTCCTTCATTCCACTCTGCATGTGGCACTTGTCCTTCCTCAATAGTGTGTGCATCATCTTTGCAGTAACATATATGTTTATTTTCGGTGCTTCAGCTGGTATATTGTCAGGTTCGTCTGATAACCATTCCGATTCCTTCGAACGTTGGTGGAGTGACATCTATACGTAGGTCTCTGTGCGTTCCTTCGATATCCACTCTGTTTAATGTTTTTTCTCTCTCTCTCAGTCCATGTCATCCCATGATAATGTGGTAGGCATCGAGTCACGGTTGGCTATGACCGCCGCTACAGGAAAACCACGAGCCAGTTGCCAGGCTAGACCCTTCCGAAGGTCAAATATCTGAAGGCAGTTGAAGTTTGTAGTAAAATGCATTCTCCGGCGATCTCGTAGTATCGAAATAATACCGAGATCGTTCCAAAATCCACAAGCGAGACTACTGGGCGTACGAGAGTTCGTGTAAGGACACAAACAACGGTAAAGTGTGTTTTTTGGTAAACTTGAACAAATAGATACAATAAAACAGTCACTGGTACAGTCGGTTATAATAATAATTGTTTCCATTATGTTAATCTCATTCTCTTCATAAAATTAGGTCACTACAATTTCTCCATATCTGTTGTTGTCCGTTCCGATCTTGGCGCTTATGTCTCCCTTCAGAATTGTCGGGTCCTTTCCTGAGTACTTCGCTATGACCGAATGCAGCCTCTCACAAAACTGATCGTTTTTGCCGTCATTGTTATCATTGATGGGTGCATAAAATAGGACAGTATTCATTGTACTTCCCTCCTTCTTTGTTTCGAAGGATGCTTCGATGGTTTTGGGTCAATAGTATTCCCAACTTATTAGTATTTAACGTGCTTCTTTGGAAAGCATCAGAGCAACTCCCTGAGTGTGTGGGGCATATTCCTCTTCGTGATTAGAGCAAAACAGGATCTCCCCCGAATCTATCTTTTACTGTTCATCTTCTGCATGATAGGTTTTACTGATTTCGAGTATCACCAAGTTGCATCTCCTTATTTCAGCATCCAATTGATTGGTCCTCTCGGTCTCGCACATTGTCTGGACGTTCCATAAATCAATAATCATGGTTGCTCCGATTGTTTGGAGGAGCACTTACATCGTCACCACTGAAGAATCTCGGTTTTCACTATGAAACGTTATAATTCCTCCTTGAACTCGGAGGACAGAGTTTAAATGGTTTAATTTGTTCATTTTGATTATCATTTATTGCAAGGTTGTCCTCGTTTGTGTGTACTTGGAAACGGCAGTAGCCCTAGGAAAGCTTCTGGAGTAGTTCAACTGTTTGTAGTCCAGGCTTTAGTCAATTTAATTCCAAAAAGTTAAATATTGCGTAGACAGAAAAATCAACTGGTAAAGATACTCGAATAAGGGACTGAAGTTGTTAGATATTAAGAATAAAATTGAATTATTTGAGTTAAAATACTAGATACTTTGTTGAGGAGATGTTCTTGAGTATACCCACTAATACACAAGCACAAAAACTTTTTGAATTCAGTAGGTTCGGATTTCAGTGAAAAAAATTAACAATACTCCGATTTGAACCATACATGCTGAAGTGTTCAGTCTATATCGAGGACAGATCGTGGAACTACAAATGTGTTTCTTGAGGCATGTAGCTTAGATTGTGAAGGTGGTTAGTGTTAATTCCGGTACAAACGAAGTTTTGTTTTAAACTTCTCTCGTGCAACGACCAACAGCTCCGCGGACCTTTTGGATTCGACGGATTCCTTATGATAGTTTTCGCACTGAGGAATTGCGATGTCTGAAGTCTTATTGAATGACTCAGCTGTTAAGCAGGAGTATTTTGAAGACGAAGAAAGTCTTCTGAAGAGTGATGTTTTTGATTCTGTACCTGAAACACTTTCGGGTGAATTAACTGAGATCGGTTTCGACAACGGATGTCCTGGTGTTGTTGGTCGTGATCCTTACGGCGATCTATTTTTAATGGATCCTAATGACCTTCTCGGTGTAAGGGAAGAAGTTATTGGAAATGACGCAAGTAACAGCCCGGAAGGTGTACCTGTATGTGATTCCACTATAGCTACAGCGGATGAATCTAACGACTCCTCTAATGAACGTGCCAATCTAAAGCGGAAAAAGACGAAAAATCGGCACATTAACTTAACTAAACAAGAACTAGACAATCGTGAGCCTTCAGATCCTGACGATGGGGCACAAAATATAAAGTACTCACGTTCTAAACTTCCATACACCCATCCACCAATAAAAGTTGACCCTGAAACTGATTTGAGTAAGTAGTCCACATATTTTCTATCTGTATATAGGCAATCTGCCATACGTCGTATATGGCAACGCAGTTGAAAGTTTTAATGGGAAAAGCTTTTTGATAAATCGCCGATACTCTTCGTCTGCTGGTCACAAACAAATTCATATCGTGCATGGTCAACCACGTTATCGGCGCCATTTCCCCTTGGGTGCCAGTGGAACAATGGGAACTCGATTGATTCCTCAAAGTAAAATTTTTAAAATTGTTTACCAATTTGTGTATACATCTTGGCGTCCCTCGTTATTACACATCATTACACCGTTAGATAAAACTTTTGATACAAAATTATTAATTCCCTCAGGTTCTTCGTAAATGTTGTTATAAGTAACCCTTAAAACGTTTATTG